TGCGATAACATAACGTAAGACAACATATCTGCAAAATCCAGACAGTCGTGAACAGTTAAGTCCTCAAAAGGTATTGCGTGAGTTGACCTAGGGTCTGTTCTTCTTTGGTAGAAAGGCTTAAAAGGGAAACCATCGAACAATGGAGAGAAACATAATACCCAGACAGGCCTACAAACACTTGAATTCACCAGTTGGAAATAGAAGGCCAACCACTGAGGCGGGTGATATCTGCAACGATGAACCTTAGGGCCTCGGAATGCTGAAAAAGAAAAAAGAGAAAAAATAAAGAAAGAAGAATTAGAAGAAAAAATAAGAAAGAAAGAAAGACCACTTCGCCATGGAGTACCCCCTCCCTAGTGAAAAATTAGAATACAGGAACGCCGACACGAAGCGGCAGGGGAGGGGAAGACACATCCACCTTACAATTTGTTGATAATAGTTGGCCTCAAGGGGCCTAAGCCCCGCTTGAGTATGCATTAATCATGCCTTTTTTCGTTTTACGATATGCATAAGAAGAATACTTGCCCTTACGTAGCAGGACAAGTTTACAAACACTGAGGTATTGGAAAGAGCAGGATATCACTATATTCAGTTTCGTCCTTTTTAGGACGAAATTTTTTGTTATTTGAAGCCCCACCCTGGCTTTTGCCAGGGGCCGCAATATAGGCAGGCCATAAATATGGCCAAATGTCTGAACGCCGTTTCTGGGACCTCTCCACGGCGATCCTCATCCATATGGTGGCACTTTGTGTCATCGGGTGTTTATCGCTTGTGTGATGTCCTGGTGGGGTAGAAAGTCAGTCAGTCAGTCAAAGAGCAGGTATTAGAACAGTCTTCTAAATGCTCAGTCTACGAAGGCTCAAGTAGCTGGGTCACACCTGGAGAATGGAGGATTGCAGTCCCTAAGGACATGGTCTTTGGTGAATTAAAGAACTTCACAAGATGTCTAGGCCGACCTCTGTTACAATATAAAGATATGCCCAAGCGGGACAATGAGGTAGATTCGTTGGAACCAAATGCCATGGACCGTGTTGCGGCATATCAGAATGAAGGAAGAAATTACTGCAGTAAGTATGAAAGCCCAGCGTCTAAGATGACGCCTACTAAACATTGATGATGACAACAACCCTCCTGAAATCCCATGCTATAATTTTTGAAGACATAACGCAGGCGGGTCTTGCCAGTCACATTCGCCAACGCCATGGGCTGTGAGTCCCACGCTTCCTCATTGCGCAATATAATACTATTGTCTAACTAATGTGTCAGTTAATTGAACTCAACATCCCCCGACATCTCATTCGGTAGATATCTGCCGCCCTTTTCCAGAGGAAGGTCGTGCTTCGATGTGGTAGTTGGTCTTCTGAGCCGATAACAATACACCCTAGTTTGCTATAGGGTTCTCCATTGTCTCATATCCCCTTCAACATTTACACAGTCAAGATCACGGGAGAACAACTGAGTGGCAGAGGGAGAACTCTGTCATATGCGGATGACATCCTCGTGTACCGACAGGGCAGGAACAGAGATGACATTGTTTCGGATCGACAACAGGAATTAGATCGCATATCATCCTGGTGCAAGAACTCAGGGGCAACAATTAATCCATCAAAAGCAACAGTCACCCGGTTCTCATTAAATATTTACCTCTCTAAAACACCAGCGCCGATAGTAAAACTCTGTGCCGCTGACGTGGAGAGATCTGATTCCATTAAATACCTGGGTATAACATTTGACAAATGCTTAGCATTTAAAAACGCGTAGACCATATTATAACCAAAGCCAAGAAAGGTCTCTCCGCAATAAAAGTTATGGGAGCAGCAAACTTTGAGCAACAGCTGCTTGAAATGTTGTATCGTGCATTAGTTCTCTCCACCATTGAATATGCCTTTGCCACCATGACAATCAGCACCACACAGATAAACAGACTGGAAAAATTGAAAACGAGGCAATGCGTAATATTCTTGGATGCACTATAGACCCCTCCTGTAAATCCATGCGATACCTCTTGGATTTCCCCACAATGGAAAACAGAATCAAGCTATCCAGCTACCCATCTAGAAAGACTGGACCGGGTACAACATGAGGCCATGAGACTCATACTCGGCTGCACAAAAGACACCTCCTGCCATGACTTGCAGTATGTCCTGGGTTTGCCGACTATGGCCACCAGACATAAAGTGGCACAGGTAAAAGCATACACGAGAATATCAGCAGACATCAACCACCCACTGCACAACGCTATCAATGATATAAAAGGGACGCGTCTCAAAAGAGGCTCCTCCTGGATGGACGAGGCAGAAATTTTAATCCAGCAAGTATGTGCCCTAGACGAGATCAGTCACGGAAAAGAATGGGCGGATACACCAGCAGACCTGCATGACTTGTCTAATGTACACTGGGGAGGTACTGCAGGAATCAGATACCTGCCATCGTAGACGCCGAGATTAGAGAACTGATTGATCAGCACTCACGACCAGATGACGACCTTTAACATAATGGGTCGGTGAAGCGCGGGACAAGATTAGCATGGGCATACACAGCACAAATGATGGGTAAAACAATAAAAGAGGATGGCGGCGCTTACCAGACGACTACGTCAAGTATGACCATGAGGATAGCTGCTGCTACCAGAGCACTTGCGTGAGTAGCAGAACAAGCAGCCACACATTCGGTAATTGTTTCAGACTCTATGAACATGCTTCAGAAAATCGAAAAATTGTGAAAATATGGGAGTGACTGCAGTCAAGCTTATACATGTTCATGAACTCATGATTGTTCACTTATGTTTGAAAAAGGCTGCCGGGCCGAAACGTTACGATGTGTTGTTTTGTTCACGTTTTATGCTTCCCCATTTTGTTGAGCTTTTTAGTCAAATTTCAGGCAGTCTTCGCTCTGAATGGTTAGAAAGCATTTGGAAGTCGCAGTTAACCTCCATCATCTGGATCTACACACCTGGGCACGAGGGAGTAAATGGTAATGAAAGAGCTGACCGCTGGCAAGTAATACACCAATGCAAATGGGGAAAAAGCATGGACAGAGCTGATATAATCAAAGCCGTACGGATTAGGTTGAGAGATAATGGCGAATCTCTGACTCTAACACGACTTCGTGACCGAGAAGTTAAGCTTGGTGAAGCACGACTACGCCGTCCTAGAGGTAAAGACAGGAGATACTATAACCAACTCCTCATGGGAACAATAAGTAGAGGTACTTTGAAGTGGCCGCTGCATCGGAGGACTGAGCACGCATGGGGATGCCCAATGTGCAAAGACGTTGATTGTGATAACATAACATATCTAGGGCTTTTGCTTTCCTCAAAGTGAAGTCAGACCATTGACACCCACTTTATGAGGGGTTATTCAAGCAAAAAAAAAAAAAAAAAAAAAAACAGACTCAAACGAGGCAAATCCTGGATGGGTGGTGATGAGGATGCCATCGAACATGTTTGCCGTCTTACTGACATTAATTTTGGAAAGGAAGGGATAATTATGGTTCCTTCTCCAAACATTAATATTACAGTCCTTATCACACTTGTAGAGAGCAGATTCCTGGCATTATTGATACTTTAGTCAGAACATTGATTGACAAAACAGATGAAGGTGATGCTTTAGTTTACACAGATGGGTCAGTAATTAGAGGCAAGCGAAGTGCATGGGCCTTCACAGTAAGCTCAAGGGGGAAAACCATCACAGAGATGAATGGCGCCTTTGCTGTTACAACTAGTAGCCTTACAGTAGAAACTATGGCTGTAACAAGGGCTTCAGCATGGCTTGGTACTCAAAAGTTCACACACGTATGTATTCTTAGCGACTCGATGAATATGCTTAAAAAAGTCCAAGCTGGAATAATCAGACAAGAATGGATCGCAAAACTAAGCACTTCACGAATATCTGCGCTAACCTTCCTCTTTGTGCCAGGTTATGCGGGTGTTTAAGGGAACGAGCGTGCAGACTATCTTGCTGACACTGCAGTTGATATGGCTGGCCCAGTACTGGACTGAAGTGATGTTATCAATGCCAGGCGCTGCACTTACCGTACCGAGGAGCACGCCAAAGGACATAACTCCTTATCCCTGAGAACAGGCGTCATCAGTCATTTTACATTTGTGGAGATTTTGAGGAAGAGATCGGAGCACCTATGGATCTGCCCGGAGTGCTTTGATGATAATCCTTTCTAATCACTAACACTATCGTCTGGAAAGACGGAAAGGTGCAAACAACAACGTGTCACACAATAACAGCGACATGAAGAGCATACATATGACCGTATATGATAAGTGATTCGTATGGATTATGATCACAGCACTTCGGACAGATCCATATGTGCTCCGATCTCATCCTCAAAAGTTTCACAAGTGTAAAACGACTGACGACGTCTGTTCCGTGTTAATTAATGAAATGTCTTGCTCCGTGGGTGAAATTTTCATTTTTTTGGGGCCGCTCCATGCTGAGCGCCCGTGTCGATCAGCTTAGACGGGGATACGGAGTCATGCCCTTTGGCATGCTCGTCGGCACTGTAAGTGCTGCGCATGGATTGATAAAATCTCTTCTGTCCAGTGCCGGACCACTCATAGCAACCGTAGTGTCTTCAAGAAAGGCTAGCCTGCGCGCTCGTTCCATTGAACACCAATACGACCTAGCACAATGATGAAGGCTAGGGCAGCCATTCGGGAAGTACTTAGTGTTGCAGTCCATTCTTGTCTGATGAAACTAGCCTGGATTTTTTACAATCATATTCAATAAGTCACTAAGTATAGACGCGTGTATGTGGGGAAATGAAGTATAGAAGACATTTGAAAACATGAAAATGGATAGTGATCATGAACGACGAAAGAGAATCGCAAGGGGAAATTACTCCGTTTGACAATTTAAAATTTACAATTTGAACGTGGAAGTGTCGGAAGAGAGAGGGGAAGAGCTGACTACTGTTGACTGTTGTTTGGGGCAATAAAACATCACATTTGCTGTCACCTCTGTTATTTTATTAGTTAACAGTTCACAATGTTTTCACCAGTCCATGGTACCGACAGTCTACAAGGAAATGGTAAGAAAGTTGTCATAGTGGAAATGTGTTCAGTGAAGTGATCCCGATTCAGCCAGTGGAGTAGTCAGTAGTAGTACTGTATAGTAGTGCATTTTTGAATTTTTTTTTTCATTGTGATTGTGTAAATTGTTTGTAGTTTGTCTACGGATGTGACGGCCGTATCATTGTCATTTTGAATCTGTGTAATTCCAAGGAAACATTAAAGTTTAACTTAAATTATTTATTATTATAGTGTAAACTTTTAACAACTTTTATTTATAAAATTGAATAATGAATTCATTGGCCTGTGATCTAGCTAGTTCTCTACTAGTAGTAACTAGTAGATACCTACCCAGCAGTTCACATCCAAATCTGTAAATCAAAATCAAAGACAGTGTTTCAATATTTTGTAATTCATATCCTGAGCTGATTCACATTTGTGAGTAGTTTACCTAATAAAACAAAATTTGCAGTATGGCTTAAAGCTTAAATACAGTAACTTAATTTCAGTGCCTTGTATTATTAATTATTCTGCATTATATTATTATTGGTACTCCTTAAAACTACGACCAAATATTATGGCGGCCGGGGGAGTACGCCGGAGTTCAGTCCCCTGGCCGTATTGCAATTACGGAGTGGAAAAAGCACTAATCACAAAACAAAGTGAGGTCGACATGGCTGGTAGACCACGCACTGTGACTCAAATTAGCAACCACACCAGACCAACTTCATTGACGTCGCACACAGTGACATCCACACCCAAACGATTGAAGGGGTCTGGATGCTACTGAAACGCACAATTCGGCACCAATTAGGCACTAGCCGGGCGCTATTGCCTTCATATTTAACAGAATTCCAATGGCGCCACTGCCACAAGCAGCACATTTTCGGCCATTATTTGCAAATCCTGTGTCAAAATTATCAGATATAGCGGCCATCATTATGGGTAAGTTCTCGACGTTACATGTGTTACCCTAACCCTATTATGACAGCTGTGCTATCGCCAATTGTTTCGTTCCCTCTGTTTACACTCCGTAATTGCAATGAGGCCAGGGGACTGAACTCCGGTGTACTCCCCCGGCCGCCATATTAAGTGCATAATAAGTGGCCGTAGTTTTAAGGAGAACCTTATTATTATAATGTTTGTATTTTTTTAAAATCTTGTCCACAGATTCTTTCATGTCAATGTCACCAAGTAGCCCAACTCAGGTCTCCAGTGTACCTCAGGCTCAGAGTCATTCCTCCCCGTTTCTTCCAGGCTACCTTCTTGGTGACCATCACTCCCAGCATTATTCTGTGGTGAGTTTTACATTGAATTATAAAACATTCAGATCTTGCATATGGTAAGACTCTGCTTGTTTGTGACTCTATTCAGCCACAATAGGAGCAGTTAATATATTTGTTTTGGAGTGCTATTTGATCTTCACAGTGTATTTGTAGATTTTAAGCCAATGACAATGTTAAATACAAAATCAACATCACAGCACTTTGAACACCTGCACAAGTGCTCTGTTCCCATCTTCAGCAACAAGCGAAGAGTTCCAATTCCGATGGCACCAATAACTGTCAGAATGTGTATCCATCTTGCCTTTCCTTGAGTGTCGGCCAGATACCTTGGAAACTCCTCGCAGTGCCATGCTCCTCTGACTAATGATCTGTTTGTGCCTCCGCACTGTTCACTCGCTAAAGGGTCCTCACCAGGTGGTGCAAAACTGGCCAGCCTATCTGTCTGCTCGTTTCCCAACACATCTCGAGAGCAATAAGTCCTTTTTGGCATTTCACCACAGATGTCTCCACATGATCCCTAAAGGACAGGCTTCTGTTGAAAATGATACCCTAGTACCTCAGCTTGCTTTTTCTTTTGATGTTTCTGTCTTTAATAGTGAGGCTTGGAGCATTAGCTTTTACAAATTTATTTTCCAGAGAGCACCGGTAACAATGAGAGCATAAACCCTTTTGCTCCGCAAATGCTAAAAACAAATGGGCCTTAAACCCTGTAGGAATTTCTGCAAAAAAATCCTTTAAAAATATTTACATGGGTCACTAATAAATTGTTAAAAATGTAATCTACATTTTTAACATCATCCCCGATATATATATAAAGGGGTAATCAGTAAACATGAAGAATTAAATAGAATACGTTCCCCTGGGCATAAACAATTACAATTGGGTGAATCATGTCATAACCTATTGCCTCTATCACTGAGGCTTATGGAAACATTTGAGATTAACTTGGTTTTTAAGTTGACCCCCGCTGGGGGTCAAAGGAAACCCAAATACGATTTTTTAAAAATAGTATCTATATTAATATTCTGGCCTTGCAGGGGATCAGTGAAATTTAACTATGCTTTTCAAGAACAGGTCACTGCATACATGGTAATTTATCGGCATGTTCAAGGACTAGGCGCAACCAGAAGTGACTAGATTTAGAGTTATCTGGGGGAAAGGGTTAAAGCTAACTGCACAGACTTTAAACCCAGTATTTATCACATAATATGATACACCACTTTACTGAGAAATCACTGGTTTGCTGTCTGGATTTAAAAAGGACTCAAATGCTAAATTCAAATATAAAAATAATTTTTCTATATATTTGATTAAATTTATTACTATTTTTTATGCTTATAACATGTAGATGCTTGAGTGTTATATATTTGTTATGCAATATTTGTATTCTCTTAATATGCAGCTAGATGGGTTTTTTTTTTTTTTTTTTTGTAAATACTTTTATTGTAAATAAGAAATTAATATAATGTGAATGACTTATTAGAGTCTTGAGTTTTTCTTGCAAATAAAAGTAGCTGCATTATGTATAATATTGTTTGTTCTTGCAGTCAAGTCCACGACTTTGGTCATCAGTAGGAAGTCATAGTCCCGGGCAGAAAGCTGGAGGGCAGACTGGCTCTGTTGCTTTATCAGGATCTGGTTCAATGAGGTTTGTGTAAAGACTTGATCATTAAACAAATATTTATAAGATTTATGTTCTCTCATCAGTTAAAATTTTATTTTAATTGATTCTGCTACTTCATTTTGAGGTGAATGGATAAAGTAAGGTTTCATATTTAACTGCAATATTCTGCATGGAAGAATGCTGTGAGTATCTTGGACAGCCCAGAATAACCCAAACTGATTGCCTGGAAATGACAAATGAAAGTAGAACAATATATACAGCAGTGAGAAGGAGACAAAAAAAATTTATTGGTCATGTGATAAGAAGAGGAGCATTGTCAACGGATCTGAGCTTTTGATGATAATTAGATGACATAAATATTAATATGCCCTATTTGGGTTCTGAGTCCCCTTGTCCCCTTTTTCAGGCATATACTGAAAAGTGACTAGTCAAGAGTTAGCAGAAATTAGATGTGTTTGGCCCAAACATTAAAAAAATCAACTGATATTGCAGCTAAGCTGTAAACCACAACATGACATGCAAACAGCCCGTTCAAGGACAAAGGAAGAAGAATATTTACACTGTTTGGTATTTTTAGCATAATGTGCACAAAGTCCAGTAAATTCATGCAGCTTCTTCCCTGTCATGCCTCATCTGGTTATTTAGTTAACATCCTCTGGTAGGCCGAGAGTTGTAACTATTAGGTAACAAAGCAGTGTTTCCCTGTTGAACAATGAAGACACAAACAAAAGATTGCACATTTTAATGATAGCTTGTGTTTACCCTGATGAAACTAAAAGTTCTTGAATGTAGTCGATTTTGTGTTTTAGTTTGAAGGATCCATTTATTTCCTTCATTTTAATCAATTGTTACTGTAGTATGCACCTCACAGTGCAATACGCCAGGCAATAAATTGTGCAATCTAGTGTTTGTGTCTTTTTTGTTCATATTATGTAACAGTTTAACAATACATTTTGTTAAACTTTCTTACTCAGTATTTAAAAAAATATATTTCCGCAGGAGAGAATTAGTGAAACATAAACTGGGAGCCCCGCCAGTGAAAAGTCTATACTCAAGCCCCACAGATGCCTCCCATGTGAGTTTTATATTTGTCGCGTAAAGGTACACATTAGCATTAACCAATACTTCTTTTACCAACAAATGCTCTGTTAAGTTTTAAAACTTGTTCTGTTCTTTAACGAAGTTCTTGGTTTTGGTTTCCTTAATTATTAATACTCATTACTGTCATTTGTTTGGCCCTTTCGTTAGAATGCAGCAAGGTCAAATACTATCACAAGCTCTACGTATCAGGAGATCAGCTACAAGAGCAAGAGGGCAGTCGAAAGAGGGCGAAAATATGGGTCGACAACATTAAAGACACTCTACGCCTTCAGGGCATGACAATAGCCAGTGGCAGCCAGCGTGCACTGGATCACAAATTATTCCTCCCCACAGCGCTTAATGGCAGAAGTGGTTTATAATGATGACTGTCATTTGCAGACTGGAAAATGAGGGCGTGTCTGTGTCATCTATCCTTAAGACCAGTAAACACAATCAAATACGCTGACACCTTTAGAGTTTTACATTTGTGTACGAGTTGTAGTGGCATAGTTGTTAGTAAGTAAGCTTGCCTGCTGAGACAGGTCTAGGCTAACTGTACAAGATTAGCCAGCATGTGACACAAACTACTATTCCCACCTACTAACATGCAAACTCTTCAATATTACCACAGCTGTTTTTTTTTTTTTTTTTTCAAAAGATGCAATAGAATACCAAAGCAGCTGCTCACAGCTAAGGAAATTAAATTTTATCTTCTTCTTTCCTCTTCGCTGTGGCGGAGCGGCTAGACGCTCGCCTACGGGTCGGAAGTTAGTGGGTTTGTTCCAGGGCGCAGACTTTTTTTTCTAAAAATGACCTTGGTTTCCATGTTAACACAGCCTTGAGTGGGTACGGCGTGCAGTCCCGGGAAGTAAAGGTGGCTTACGTGATGCTGACCACATCACCCATCTTGTGCTGATTGGTTTATAAAATATAGGTCAAGCCCTATATGCCCTATACGCCTAAAGGTATGGGAAAGGGTCCTTTACTTCTTCTTTCCTCGCATGCTTCTGAGATAGATAGTCCCATGACAGATATTATCTTGTGGTGTGATGCAAAGTTTTCACAAATTCTAGGTCATTGTATAATAAAGTGAGGTGGCAAGTTCTTCTCACAGTTCTAACAATTCTTGGAGTCTCAACTATGATAATTATGGGATACCAGTTTTGTAAGACTGGGCTGCAAAGGACTGTGTTAGTCAGAAAAATAACTCTACAACTGATAGATGGACACGTGGATCATTGTTTTTGGTTAACTACGCTAAGCAGCTTATTAGAAAACAGTATGATTGCCTATAGCCCACATGTTGATTTTCTACATTTGATGAAAGAGCTTTATTAGAAGTAACCTCCATTTTGCATTGTTTCTAGTTCTGAGTCCTTCATTATAAAGTGAGTAGAGGACCCTTTTCCACACCTTCAGGTGTATAGGACTAGATCTATATTTTGTAGACCAAACAGCACTTGGTGAGTGATGTGGTCAGCATCACATCGGCCACCTTTACTTCTCAGGACCGTACCTGGTACGCACTCAAGGCTTGGTTGACCTGGAGGCCGAGGCCATTTTAGAAAAAGTCTGGCCTCTGTCGGGACCCGAACCCATGACTTTCCAGTCTGCCAGAGAGCGTCTAGCTGCTAGACCACGGCAGCTCCCGACTCCTTCATTATGCCATCTTAATATATTGTTGGTAACAGTACTGTGAAAGTATTCCTGATGTCAGTTACATGTCTTCTACAATATTCTTATATAAAATTATTCAGGGATATCTCTTCTGTGAACATTGTAAAAATGTCAAATTCTGCTGTTTTTGCTTTTAGTCATACTGGGTCTTAGAATAAAGTTAAAGACACAGTTAGTGCCTACGATCAGAGAATTTAGAGTGCAGTCCATCAGTACTGCTGTTAAGGATGCGAGAATTGGGAGTAAAGAAGGGCACACCAGATATGAGAGGCACACAAAAAAAGTCTTGTCAGCTAGGATAGAACTGTCACTATTAGCCATTGGAAGGTGATGTGTATGTTGAGTGAGAAATATGAACATCTATAGATATATTTGCAGTGCTGTGAGCATAACCCATCTCATCCTTCTTATTCAGCATTTCAAACACTTGCTGCAGATCTCATCCATTCATCTCTTATTAATCCTCTCTTTCCAGTTAAGGCTCCATGTGTTTGCAGGTCTGCCTAAATATTATCTCTAAACTGTCTTCTTGGTCTGCCTCGTGGTCTACGACCATTCAATTTCTTTGTGTACAGTTTTTATCTCTGTGTTGTCTGGCATTTTCTCAGTATGCCCCAACCATTCAAGTCTTTTAGCCCTCATGATGTGAATTACATCAGTTGTAAAGCAAGGTGATGCTCTGTCCTCACTTCTTTTCAACTTGGCCCTAGAGAAAATTTTAAGAAAAGTGAAAGAAGATTGTACTATGTTAGAAACTTAACAGTTAAAACACTGAATATCTTAAAGGACACTAAAAAAATGGGACTAGTTATCAGTCAAGTATATACAATACATAGTAATAACAAAACAGGCTGGGGTAATTCCAGCCACAGATTGATATGAAAATCAAACGAATGGAAATATGTAAGTATTTGGCTGACAATTTTAACTGCTCCAGCAAGTAAGAGAAGCAATACAATCTGGAAATAAAATTTCTATCCCCTACATTATCTGCTAAACTGAAAGTCTCTGTCTCTGAACACCAAGATCAAAATATATAAAACCTTGATGAGATCAGTTTTATGGGGCTTTGAAACCCAACTTGTAACGCATAAAATTAAAGTCTATGGCATACACTTCATGTATATGATACTTTATCAATAAATAATCTGTGTTAATAATTTCTGTTCTGACAGACACAGCTTGGCAGCCCAGAACAGAGTCGTACAAAACCATCACCAACGTTAAGACAGATATCAGCTTCCACGCCAGCACCTCCGACCACAGGTGATTATTTTTTTTTATATAAAAAGATAACCCATTTAAAACAAATTACATTTAGCCTTCTTCTTAGCATCCATCGGCTTTACTCCGGCAGAAACTTCTAGTTGTTCATCTGCTTCTGGACTCTTTCTAGAACTTGAGTTTTACATACACATTCTGCTTGCCCATCTGGCTTATGTGTGTGCAGCTTGTTGGTTACTCACCACTCCAGCTTTGAAGGAAAAACCCCAAATTAGTTTTCTTTTTCAACATGCTTGTTTGGAAAGGGGGGAGGGGTGCAGTAAGTCATTTATTTTTTCCCTCCAAAATAGAACCTGTGAACTCATACAAGGATTGTATGTAGTGATTGATGCTGTTTAAACAAGCTATTCATGTGCCAGTCAATTAAGACATGACACTCTCATTACAGCTGTTAAAAATGTTAGTTGCGTAGCCTTTACAGGATGTTCCAAAACACACCCCAGCATTGTTTAGCTGTAGTGATCTTTTAAGGCAAATTTTATCTTCACTAGTTTGCCATTTCTTTCTGAACAGTCAGTTCTTGGTACCACTGTCAAAACCAATGCAAGACAAACCGTCTGCAACTGGGATTGAACTCGGCATTATATAGCGCGTTCACAGTGCCTAAGCCCCAGATAACAGCTTAGTTAATATGAATTTCTAAAACTTATGGGGCTATTTCAAGTGTTTGATACAAATTCTTTCTGTGTATCATATTGTGGGTTCCAGCTGTATGATAGACATGGCTAATTAAAACACCTTTATTGGGTGCATCTAATTGGTCATGTGTCTTAGTACACTTATTCCTGCAGTGATGCACTGTCATAATTTTGGGGTGACAGGTTTGATTCTCGACATGGTAACTATAGCTTTCGATATCTCTGTTATCTTATGTATTCTCCTTCTTTCTGTGAATGCTGTTCAGTAAGTCTGTCTATTTTATTTATTTATATGTATATATGTGTTTGGGTGTATATATATATATATGTATATATATGTATATATATATATACACACACATATATTTGTGTGTGTATATATATATGTGTGTGTGTATAAACACACACACACATATATATATATATCCAGCGCCGCTCAGCTAAGTGTGTGTGATGATAACTTAAATGGATTTTCGTGCGTTAATTTTCTTATATAATTTTAGGCCTTTTCCATACACCTGGTGGATCTCAAGGGGAGGCAAGAATGAACATAATGCAGCAGAAACAGACACTGCCCATATCACCAGCTCAGACAGACCCGTTCTTTACCCAAGAGTAAGTTGAGAAATGTATTTGATAGAATTCAGTGTGTTTGAGGCTGAGATTCTCACACTGTTGACCACCATCCTCTTGTATGTAAACCCATGATTTGTCGTCACTATGTATTGTGTGGTTTACACCTAGGCTATCCCTTAACCCTTTTGCTGCTGCGCCCTCCGCCAGCCAACGTAACCACTGTGCTAAGCCAGGCGAGACCTAATCTTTCCTCCTGTGCTGAATACCACTTTTTCCTTCAAAAGCAGAAGGCGCGCTTGCGGCACGGGGTAAAAATTGTACACCTAAAATAAAAAATTGTTGAAGGCGTGTGGTTGAACTTTGCGCTGACAATTCAGACGCGCTATTACTACGCCATGAAAACTCATTAACAAAAAGAAAACACTACAAACTTACAAAGCAAACACAAAACACTTTAGTAAGCAAATATTAATATCTTTGTGTGTGAAATATTTCAAAACAAGGTGCGACACACAATGCCAAATCACATTCCTTGCACATGTATCTGGTTTCCCGTCGTTTTTTGCTTTTTGCGCATACCACACACTTTCTTGTTGGGAATTTTTTCTGCGATGTTACGGACTCTATTATTGAAGGGAAATGCCTTTGTACTAAACGAAGTGGCAGATCTTCACTTTTTTGTCCTCCTACACTTTTTCTCTTTTCCTTGCAATATTTCTGTAGAATTTCTCTTACTAACATTAAGTGAAATTCGGCAACATGTGTGTTTTTCCCCACAACAACTTTATATAATGAATGTGCACAGTACACCAACCACCCTTCACAAAGGAACAGGATAACGTGTAAAGCATCTAAATCCACCTGAACGCACGTGACAGGATGTTTAATTAATTATTACTTCGGTGATCTGTTGCCAAAAATGCTAAGAGCTTAAATTTAAAATAATAATTTTTTTTTAAAAACGGACGTAGGGGTTGAACGCTGGACCTTTCGATTGTAAGGCAGGCGTAATAGCAACTACACTAGAAATTCACACGAAACTATGAACTGGAAAAAAAAAAGACCAGTATTGTACACTTTAATAGACAAACACATTTATGTCAGTTGTATAGTATATTATTGACATTAATATTAATCATCATGTCAGTACGTGACCATATCTTTATTTTGATTATTTTGGATCCTTTTCAAATCCAGTCGATGTAGATAGCTAGGTCATATGGTCACCGGTCAGTCTTGTTCACAGCCAGAAGTACACGTGTCCGCCGGAGTGCCGCGAAGATAACCCAGCTCATATAACTCACACGTTTCAAAGTGATCCTTACTACTACTACTTGAAAGAAACTCCATTAATTCTTTATTTAAACAAATGTTCTTGTTATTTTGAATTTAAAAAAAAAATTTAGACTAACGCAAAACCAGAAATATATTTCAGGGCAAAAAAATTACCGTTCACCGACAATGCTTCTATGGTAACAAAGCAACAGGATAACGTGAAATGCATCTAAATACGCCTAAACTCACTTAATAAGGGTTTTAATTGTATGTAAACGGGTCAGTTTGATCAGATTAAGGTAATGTGTATTGCTATTTCACCCCTAAGAATTACTGTTCTTAGCAATCTGTAAAAAAAAATGTTGAGGACGAGTTATCTCGTCCATAGCAGCGAAAGGGTTAATTAGTCACCTGTTACAACATGCTCATTAAGTGGCAGTGGGTCTGTTTGCTGCCTCCTGGGTTTCTGTTTAAATTTATGTTTTACCAGGAGAGAATGGCAGGAGAGACAAAAACTGGTTACACAAAAGAGTTAAATGAAGACAGACCATTAGGCTGGCCAAGAAGATGGTAGGAAGATAGTATAGAGACCTACAAACGCATGGAGACACCAAATGGAAAGAGAAGCCTAACCACAGATGAATGCAGCCAGGTGCAGCATCAAGGACTTGAAACGTTGCAGTAGAAGATGAAAATGAACTTACCATGTGTTTGTTGACTGAGTTAATCTAATTGTTTAGTTGTGTACGTTTTAGCCCCTTCGCCTATGGTGGTGCCTCCCCACAGGTCTCTCCAGGAGCTGCATGTATGATCAGCAATCAAAGGAGTGAAAGGGTCAGAACATGGGTATTCTCCACCATCCAAGAAGGCTTTCATAAATGCAGAATTTACACATGATGTAGTGCTTAGGCTACCCAGATCACTATTAGAACAGATCACTATCAAGTGACTGCATCTGCAACTATGACCAGATTACAAGAACAGCATGGTAAAAGGGATGTGGCCAGACAAAAGCACAATGCAGGAAGCCAAAGAAGAATAAGAATGAGAAACCAACACAGAACTTGTGTCATTAGCTGCTTCACGCTGCAGGATTTACTGGGATCTGAGCACTTATGGACTGAATAGTTTGATGTGCAGTGAAGATAATCGGTTGACTAACTGATTATTGTGAAATGTTAACTGACGTAGCTTATCTGTTATCCCATGCAGAAATCTCAAATCCACGGATGTTCTAGATGAAACCTGGGTCACTGTGTTTGGGTGAGTGATATTTTTATTTCTGTATCTCTACATGGACTCTAAGGTCAAAATAAGAATAGTAGGCCACAGATGTGGAACATACAAATAAAGCATGAGACTGGCCATCTATTTCTGTAGAAAACATTGGCTAAACTATATAATTAGCCATAAACAAAACTACAAAGGCTTGCTCTGATTTAGTTGAGGGCTTATGCTTTTCTGTGTGTATGTGAAATTCTTTTTATTTTTCTTAGCCAGCTGTAAACTCTGGCAGAAAATTCCAGTGGTTCGCCCACTTTTGGACTTTATTGTTGTTCCAGAACGTGAATTTTTCATACACATCTGTTTTACAAAGCTGGCTTACTTGTTTGCAGACTGATTGTTCCTTGCCTCTCAGACAAATGGGCTGTGACTTCAGAGAAAAGTTCCCTAATTATTCACATTTGTGTTATGCTAGGCAGGGAAGCAGTGGTACTATTCTTTTAACCCAAAACCCACACAGGGATATTAGGAAATGAAAGACAGATGACACCAATTCTTAAAACATGAATGAAAGAGGAACAAATCTTGGATTTGGTATATTGTTTTCTTTTTCATCATTATTATGGACCCTATATAAAGCAGAGGTGGACAATTTTTGTCACATACAGTGATCAGAATTATGGACCAGTGCTGTGGACTTGTTCTGTTTATGCTACCCTGTCAACCCGTCAATATTTATATCTCCCTGTCCTCCATCTGTTCTCTTTCAAGTTTACCCTGGGGTCATGTCCAGAAATCTACTGGTTAGCATATGCCTGTAGGTACCTGCTGTGCAATCATGGAGTGTGATTTAGATTCAGAATAATAATTGGTTTATATTCTGGGTTGGAAATCAGTACCAAGTCCTTAAAAGTAGAGGTGACCATGTGTCATTGACCACATCATCCAGGTGTTAATTAGTCTGTTTTTTTTTTATCGATCACCGGCTGTGAATTCCGACGGAAGGTCCCGGTTAATCGTCCGCTTGGACTTTTGGCATTCACCTGGACCTGATTTTTGCGTGTAAAACCGTTTTCTGTCCCCTGCCTCATGGGCATCTGTACTTCGACTTCGAAGGATAATTGGTCTGTTAAAATCTAGGATTACCAGCGTGTGCCCATTATGCTTCAAGGCACAAAACCCTTTTTGTTTTTAAAAACATATCTGCTATGTCTGAATATGGTTTTGTTGTTAATATATTGTATTTCTTTCAGCTTCCCTCCAGGTGCCACTTCATTTATATTGCAGCAGTTCTCACAGTATGGCACTATACTCAAATATGTGGTAGGCCGAATGCTTTATTTCTATTTGTATTTAATACTAGTTTTAATTTCCCGACGTCACCCAGGATTGAGTAAAGCAATCTACATTCATTCTAATTAATTGTGCTCACCAAATTTATCTCACTACTTGGCTGTGGAATATCATACCATGCGATGTTTAAAATGCTCTAAAGAAAATCTGTTTCAAAGTCTGATTCTATAGCCATATGCCAACTTAATACAACATTGTGCCAAGCCTGTGGCTTAGAGTGATTGCCCCTACAGTTTATTAAATACACAACTAAGGAACATAATGGCATATGTAGTTTGCAATGCATATAACTCCAGCGAAATGTAACTCAGTGATTGTCGGTAAATATGCAGAGGCCATGATTGACAGATGGTTTTTGTGTTTTATATGATAGATTGTTTAACAGTTAAAAGAATTTTCTGCATTCATCCTTAAAAAGACGGTACTTCGGCTAGCTAACAGCAGATTGAATGTGGTCGAGCTTTTTTATGTGTGTGTGTGAAAAGGGGTAGAAAAAAGAGCAGTTCACATTTAGTGTTCTGGTTTATGTGGCGTGACTTATGCTTAAGAGGCAGTCGATCTAACCCAAAACACCCCCCCCCCTCCCTCCCCTACTCACACACTCGTGCGAGGGATTCATAACGAATTGAAATTCACATTTAAAAGTGAAATCTAAGTGGGGAGAAACAGATAAGAACTGAGGTGACAAAATATGTTAATAGCAAAAGCTTTTAGTTATGCCATTGTTCATAATTTATTTAAATGATCTGTTTTTCGTTTCTTTCATATTTGTAAGATACCTTAGCTTTTTTTTTATATATTAGTGTACGTGAAAGCAAACCCTTTAAACCATTCTGCTTAGTTGGTTACATAGTTGGGCCATTCTAGCTTTCTAGCTATACTATTATCGTTTTCTCATTGTGTGCCTTATCCAGTGTCATCGTCTTTCTCCTACTCCTTGTGATTCACCCCAGTACAGGCAGTGGGTCTGTTCCCCCCCCCCCCCCCCCCCCCCCCCAAACTTGGGCCCCGAAACCTACACAGGGATTAGTGAATTTATTTTACTGGTTAATTCCTTTTTTGCACAGGCGGCCGGGTGACAAGCTTCTTGTGGTTCGAGTTCACTCTCAGGGGTAGGCAGAAAAGACAAATTTTTCCTAGATTTATGGAATCTAGGCTGAAGGGTTGCGATATCCATAGCACTGAGCCAGATTTTTTTAAAGTGTCTTTTTAGTTTATTAGTATTTGATGTAGTTCTCATTTTTTCACCTTGGCCATATAATGATTAAATATATCTTTGAAAAGTCTTTAAACAGCATTTGTTAAAATGTGTAAATACTTTTTTTTTGGCTGACTTTATGTCTGTATGTATTTGTATAACAAATGTTGTCAGTTTTCATTTTAGATCCCCTGCTGCATGATTCTCTTCCAACTGATTACCTTTTTTGTGTGTGCTTCTGGACTGTTCGCCCGTTCTCAAGAACCTTGATGGTATTTAGCTTGTCATGCATCAGTGTACCTCTGAGTGGTGCAGAACTGTTTCTTTTCCAACACACCTGCATTCCTGGGAGATAATTTCTAAGAGGCGCTAATGTCTCGATGTTTGCCACTCCTGCATAAAGCATACTTGTCTGTACGTTTCTCAACATGTTTTGTGAGTTCTTATGTAAAATGTTTTACGGATTTATCTCTTATTTCTCAGATTCCATCAGAGTGTAATTGGATGCACATTCACTACTTGTCAAAACTTCAAGCCAAGAAAGCCATTAGTAAAGATGGGAAGATTTTTGGAGGTTGTTTAAAAATCGGCGTTACACAGTGCATAGAAAAGGTAATTTTTTTATTTTCTTCTTTCCTGCTTATTTAAATTTTCTTCTAGGCAAGTCGCAACCAAGCTGATTATTTTATTTTTGAACTACCATTTAAAAATCCTTGTTTCTGTGTGTGTGTGTTTAGTTTATTCTTTCTGCATCTTCTTTTTAAAATGTTGTATTTTGTGATAAACCTCACATATGAACAAGTAACTGACTTGTTTATCCTTTGATTGATGCTTTGTCTATATTTTTGCTGACACAATACTTATTGTTTCTTTTGTTTACTGTGTCTTCTGTAAGGTAACATTCCTGCATGGGAAGTTAGTTATTTCCTGAAACTAATTTGAGAATTAATGCAATGTGTACAATTTGAAATATATTTATTTAAATGCCTTTAAAAAAAAAGCTAGGGCAGCTTATCACAATATCAGAAAGTCGTCATAATTTGACTACATTCTTCTTCTCTATGTCACCTGTATCCACAAGCTTCTGTCACCTATACTTTAAATCAGTTCTGACACATGCGATCTTCTATGCCATGCCGTGCTAAGTGCACAGTTGAAACAGCATTGAAGATGTCTAAGGTAATGTTGTAGAATGTACCCGTTTGTGTGGTCATTGAAGTCCTGGACCTGCGGACTGCTCCCTACTGATCACCAGAGGGGGCAGCCCGTGATGAGTGGAATGTTCAACATGCCGATGTGAGGTTAAGCAGTCGTATGCAGGACATGACGATTCCTTGTGTGAGCCCAGGACCAGAGTATCATGTGTCGGCTCTGCATTTATGGAAGCCTCCTTGGATGGTGGAGAATGCACATTATATGCTCCTGTCTTTAATTGAGGGCCTATCAGACTACACACGGTTGCCCTAGATGAGGGAGTCTTAGGGGCACCACCTGTAGATAAAGTGACAAAGAGAACACCACACAAATGATGCAACATCATGCCCCACAAAACAGTGGCAACAGTCATCCTAAAGATAGGATTGACATCTTCCTCTGAAGTCGGAGTACATCTGCCAGAGAGGGAGGGTACAAGAACTGCACACAAATAAGCCAGTAAAATTGATGTACACGCAAAACTCAGGCCCTGGTACAAAACCCCAAAGTCTAGAAGTGGACAAACAACCAGAACTTTCCTCCAGGGTTTACAACCAGTGAACACGAAGAAGAAGTATCTTCTTTATTCTTGAACATTTGCTGCTTTTAACTAGAATAACAAGATGGAAGGATAACATCAGAGAAACTCTACAACAGCACGATGTGCCTATGGTTAAGGCGGCCAGAAGAGCTAGAGACAGAACCTTATATCTCCCTCGATGCCCACAGCGGTAAAAGAGGAAGTGAAAAAGAAGAAATAGAATAGAGTTAATTTAAATACTTTCTGGAATCGAAAGAGTTGGAACGTGAAAGCCCCTGGGATCAAGTTAGGTAGCACAACAAACTAGCTGAGTTTTCTGTTTACAGTACCTTCGCTACTTCTTTTCTCACTTCCTTTACTCCTTTCCACCAATTTTGTCTTGAAATTTGTTTGATTAAAAAAAAAGAAATTAAGTAACTATTATTCTACTGGTTTACTTGCAGGATTTCAATTTTTACATGAAAGTGGGTCGATCAGTATTATCTGTTACATTTTATGTTAAGTTTAATTTTTTCTTGATGTTCATATTTTGTTGTGTTAAGAGTTGCCATGCATTTGCTGTCAAATGCTTCTACTATTTTCTGTTGAGCACTATTCTGAAATTTTCTTTTGCGCCAGTTTTATTTGTATTAATAGATTTGTTATTTGTTTTTTTTCCCCTTTGAAGTAAAGGTGGATTTTGAAAGAAATGTAAGACAGATGTTAAGAATAGATAATGGAGAGAAAGTTTCAGTTTAAGATAAGTGTCATAATAATTATAATTTATAAGATGTGCTCCTCGGAGGGGGGTGTGAATTGGACACTTGCCCCCTAAGCAAGCATGCAGCAAAAGCCGACTGATTAGGGATGTTTCCTTTTAAGTTGGTATGCACCTGTCCAGAGGCAAGGAATTACCTGTCTGTATACATATAAGTCAGATCTGTCAAGCGGCTGTGTATACAGAACTCAAGTTTCACAGTTGATCTTCTTCTTCTTATTAGTCAGTGTAATATAAATGTGTTGTGCTTGTTTACAGCAAGGCTGCAATATTTGCATCTTTCAGCTAACACATCTGACTTCATCTAGTATTTGTTGACCAGGTTAACTTTATGGTAATGATTGAAGATAGTATTAAGCATTTTCTAATGTGAATTAAGGATTATTTTTTTTAAATAAATAAAGGGAAGTCATAAAATGTAAGTCATGTAAAACTGTTTACATATAAAAGAAAGCATATACTGCTTATCCAGTGTTTTTACTGGCCTTTCTACCCAATAATCTGTAGATTTTACCATTATAAAGAAAAATATAAAAAAATAATGTTGGTGATATCAGTTAAATGTATACTGACTTTTACATAAGCAGTATAACTTGTGAAGTTCTTTTCATGTTTAAAACCTTTATTAGTTGTCCATGGAACTGTACCAGGCCCATCTGCCCTGTGGTTTTCTGTAGATTTGACCACTCTAAAGACAGAAGTATTTTTTATAGCTTTATATTGGCTTTCACATTTGTCTTGAAATGTTAGAAATTATTTCCAGGTGTAAGAAATGTCCTCGTGATACTCTGTGTATGTTATCCCTATAGAAAAAGTAGTAAAGATATGAGATAAATGCGCCTAGTAAAACTCCATTGATAGGTAGTGTACATTCTTAGGTATGAAAATAATTGCACGTTAAGCAGTGCACATTCTTAGGAAGAAAAATAATTGCACATTATTTAAAGCAATGTAGGTTCTAAGGTATGAAAATAATTGCACATTAAGTAATGTAGGTTCTTAGGTATGAAAATAATTGCACATTAAGTAATGTAGGTTCTTAGGTATGAAAATAATTGCACAGTAAGTAATGTAGGTTCTTAGGTATGAAAATAATTGCACATTAAGTAATAAATAAGTAGTATATTTAATAGCATGCTATGTGTACTGTCATTTAAATTTGTTTCAGTGTATTAAATTTTGCTGAAATGTGAGAACCTATAATGCTCATATGTGAAGCGGTAACTGGCCTGTCTATCTGGTGAATGTGAAGAAGTAGATTGCAGCCGACCTTCATTTTTAGTTTTCTTTTAAAATGAGGTCTGTTTCTCCTGTTTTATGCAGATTTGTCCATTACAGAGAATGTAGTATTTTCAACACCATTATATTTGAGTTGGCATTCAATTTTGTCCCACAGCGTGTGATGGAAGACAAAGAAAATGTATTCACGAGTCCAGCGCTCAACAATTCTGTCAGATCACCTTCAGACTTGAACCAGAGTACTCTGACCCCAATCCGGCCATTGACGGCTGCATATGCTGCTTCCCGAGGAGAGTTTGAGGTTTGTGAAAAGAGTTGTAGTATTTGCAAACTCTCTCTCAATGTCCATTCTGTGGGGCATTAGTAATCATGTCTGTCCACAACTTTCTGTCTTGTGTACTTTCAGTCAGCTCCGACACTGATGATCCTCTATGCAATGATATCAAACTTTCCATAATCTTTTGTGTCTGTCGCCCTCTTCCCCTCCAACTCTCCTACTGACACAGTGTACTCAGTTTTCTCCTTCTTATCGCATACCAAAGAATGTAGATATTTGGACACATTTGGGTATTTTTGCCGGCCCAGTAGAAATGTCACATAGCTTCTTGTATTTAAAGCAGCAACTAGAAAGTCAAACTGTGGATATACAGAAGAAAAAAAAGGCTCTGAAAGAAATCAGAGAGAGTTGAAATATTTCAGCCACATTAAAAGAGTACAAAAAGTCAAGGACCTTATTCAAGCCCCTGAGGCATCAGGAATGTGATGCTTGCTTGGTGTGGTTAATAAGCTGGCTGCCTTTACTTCCTATGACTTTACCTGCTGTGCATTTTAGGCTGGGTCTACCTGCAAACAAGGTCATTTTTGAAAGAATAAAAAAATCAGATCTTAAGAGTATTATGACTGTTGCAACAGTATCTGACAGCAGTTAGAACTGTCTTTTTCTAAACTGCCTGTTGTTGAAATGAACCCTAGTACATTGATTATGAAATGAGTTTACTAACTTTTAACTACATGCATGTTTTCAGTACGTGTGTTAATAATTTCTAAGGCTAATTTTATTGTAGCTAGTTTAATCATTCACGATTATAATAGGGTGTTTTGTTTTTTGTTTTTTTGCAGGTGCTGAAAGATAAGCCCACTCCCAAACGTGATGCTGGCCTTGTTTCAAAGTTGAAAGAATACATGTTTGGATATTAAATGTTGAATAAGATTTTGTTTGTTTTGGCTGTCATTAAATCTTATTGACTTTTAAAAAAAAATCAATCCTCGGTTAGATGTATAAATATTTCAGTTACTTCTTCATTTGTTTTTTTATTATCTTTGCAGTTATGTTTTTGTGAAAAATTAATGTGCAAAATGTTATCTTGTGTTCATTTTTAAATAGCAATAGCTTGGGAATCTTGTTGATGTTAATAATGTAAGAAAAATCAGAAAAATACACTGTTAGATGCTTACCTTTGAAAATGAAGTTTATATCTATACATATATATATATGCATTTTCTATATCGATAACTTGCCTATGCTTTCTTCTTAGACCTATCTGAATATATGAAAATAGTTTTACAACTCTGCTGGTTTTTATTAATTATTTCATGTTTTGCAATGTAAGAAAGTTTAATGATTGTACTTTTCTCTGTCTTGACCAAATTGCTACAGGGATAAATTGTAAAGGACCATTTGTCATACCTTCAGCCATGTTGGCATATAGTATTAGTGTCAGACCAACCAGCATTTAGTAGATAAAAAAATAAAGGTAAAGTCGGGAGATGTGAACCAGCGTCATTGCACATGGTTATAAGCCATAAGTGCTCTGTCACCAGTTCGGACAGCTGATAAGAATTGTCTGCCTGTGTCGCCGTCCGCACCTAACTCTGTAGCTACAGTGACGTTCCTCCATTTACCCCAGAGTGTCAACTCTGGTACCCATTTTCTAAAGGCTGGGTGAACCCCGGGAGCCACCCAGTTTTGAACACCGACTGTGGGCTTCAGCGAGTCACAGCTGGATTTGAAAATGAGCCTCTTATCGATTGCGTTAACGCGCCCCTCTATTTTTGGTAGATGATGTGGTCAGCATCACATTGGATACCTGGGAGCCAAGGGCTTTGCAGGGGAGGGGGGTCCAGCTTCATCCGAATTGGAACCTATGACCTTTGAATTCGCAGGCGGGCATCTAGCCACTAACTCAAGGCCGCTGCCTTGTGGGATATTGTATTGGTGCTGAAATAAGATCTATCATAATAATGACCACACAAAAAATGTCTACATTCGATTGGTGGCATCCGTGGCTTAGGCGTTGGGAATCTGACTTGTAATTCCAATGTACTGCGATCGAAACTCACTGCTGATCATGGTATGGGGCATCGCAGGTCGACCCGCCCTAAAATGGGTACCAGGATGAATGTCCTGGGGAAGTAAAGACGACCGGTATAATGTTGACCACATTACCCAGCTAGTGCCTATTGGTCTGAAAAAAATGTGGGTGCTCTTCCCATATGCTCAATGCGCCTAATGACGCAAAAAAGGATCTTTACTTTTTTCAATTTTTTTTTTTTTTTACTTACTTCAGTAGCATCAGTATTTAACAGTGGAAAGAACCATTAATGATTATTGTTTGGTCTATAGCTCTGTAGAGCTGTGAAATATAATATACTGTAGGGTTTTTAAAACAAAGATAAGATAGGAAAGTTTTTAAAACATGATGCTATCATAAAATGCAAAGAGTGAGCTGAACAGAAAAAAGACCAGATAAACAAATGCTTATGGGCACTAAGGAAAACTAAATAACTAATAAGAAATATACTGAAAAAGAAGACTTAGTTACAGGGCGGCAGCATGCAGTTCAAAATATCAGAGAAGAAAAGTGACAGTAAAGATGTCTTCTTCTTCAGTTCACCAGCTTTAAACTCCAGCTAAAGTTCTGGTTGTTCATCCACTTCTGGACTCTAGTCCTGTTCCAGAAACTGAGTGTTGTGGGCACATCTGTTTCACAGGTCTAATTTATTTGCATGCAGACTGTTGGTTCCTTGCCTCTCAGGCAGATGTACTTCGACTTCGAAGTAAGCTTTCATTTAGTCGACTCTTACAACATGATTTTGGACAGGCAGTGGGTCTATTCTTGTTTTCCCTGGAACCCACATGGGGATGGGGTACTATAGTTGTATGCGACGACCTTGTGGTTCATCTTCGTCACTTTCACCAGCTATAAATTCCGGAGAAATGTTCTGGTTTTTAGTCAGCTTCTGGACTTTAGTCTTGTTTCAAAATCAGAATTTTGCTTGCACGTCCTTTTTACAGATCTGGCTTATTTGGATCTCTGCCTCTGAGGCAGATGCATTCAGACTTTGAAGAAAACACCCATGATTAGTTGACTCACAACATGATTGTTGGGCGGCAGTGGGTCTGTTTTTTTACCCTCAAAATAGAGTTCCGGCGCTTTTATGTTTTTTCCTGATATTCATAATTCGCATGCTATTATATGAACATAACATACTTTATTGATAAAATACAACTGCTATGTGAAAGAAGGGTGTTTGAAAGGGCCGAATCTAGGATTCTTTGAAAAAACAGTTTGTTTGTTCCGGAACCAATATTGGGAGATTTAGACCAGCCAAAATATTCTTACCAACATTGACATTTTTGTGTTCCTCTGCAATGCACCTTTGAAATGGCAGTCAGGATATTGTATTGTGGTTTACAGCTAGGCTGCAATATATAGGCCTTTCAGCCCAACACATAACGTTTCAGCAAAACCCTAATTAGTGGCCTTTTATGACGTGCTTGTTGAACGGAAAAGGAGTAGTGAGTATTCTTTTTGTCAAGAGTGTTAAACACGACATCACGGGGCAGATGAACATAGTGATATCATAATAATAAGTCAAGATGGCCACCCCACTTTCAACATGCATCAGAGGAGCAGCGTTCTGGAATCACTCTTTTATCATTTTCATTTCAATCCCTGCCCTACAGTGGAATGATTGAAACAATCAGTAAACAACTTTAAAAAACTATCAGCAAACACTGAAATGTGTTTGTGAAAAAAAAGAATAACTAATAATGTTGTTTGTTCATCACGAGTGATGAAGACCACTTTCATTCAAAGTAGTAATGATTATGAGTACAAGGGTCTCTGATTAGTCCAATTTGAGCCTGGAAAGTTTTTGAGCAGTGCCAACAACAGATGGAATCAGTAATAAGTGTGGGATAAGCAGTACGATTCTTTCTAGTCTGCCTGTGCAACCTCCGATGCACCATCCATGAGGGACATACGCCATTCAGAACGGTCTTGCGCAGCAGCCTCCCACGTCGCTGTGTTGGTGCCAAAAGGATTGAGTGTGTCCTTATAGCGCTTTTTCTGTCCCCACTGGGACCTCTTCCCTTGCTGGAGCTCGCCATAAAAATACTCTCTTTGGGAGGCGATATTCTGGCATGCGGATAAGTTGACCAGCCCAACACAGCTGATAATTCCTCATTTTCGTATGGATGCTAGGCAGGTTTGCCCTATCAAATACCACAGTATTTAGGATCTCATCTTGCCATTTGATTTTAAGCAGTTTCTTGAGACAGGTTATATGAAACTGATTCAACTTTTTAGCAAGGCACTGATACACAGTCCACATTTTGCAAGCATAGAGCAGTACTGGGAGAATTAAAGCTTTGTAAACCTTTAGCTTGGTCAGCAGGGAGATACCACTTCTAACTAATAATAATGTAAAACTAAAGGATCCTTTTTACGCCAGTGGGGTGTAGAGCATAGAGTGTTAGGCTTCTATGTTTAATAGGACAATCAGCACTCCATGAGTGGTCAAAATAACATTATTTGCTTTTACTTTCCAGGACATTACCAGGTACCCATTTTAGACGGTCGACCTGGGAACCAAGGTCAGTTCTGAAGAAAAACAAAATTAACATTGTAATAGCAATATAGCATCCCACAAACCATTATTAGAGTGATGATTTTAATGAATTTGTGAACATCAATGTTATGAACTAATGAACACAGTTTTGCTTTATAATTTATTTTCAGTTGTTACATGTAGTGACATCAGTTTTTCTTAAGCTTGTTTCTTGCTTTGTCCATTTCTTTTTACTGCAGTAATAGTTGCTGTTTTGTTTTGTCTAAAACAGCAATTGTTGATGCTCATTTCTGATCAGTACATGTTATCAATAAAAACAGCCCTAAAGAATGTAAGGCAAGCACAGCGACCATTCTAACATGAAAAAAAGATGAAAATACTTCTTCAAACATAAAGATATATTACTGCAGGTGGTATAGTGATAGTTTGTTAATATGTGTGAATAAAAATAGCAGCTGTCATCCTGGGTTAAAATAACTGTGAAAAGCAAGAAATAAACATAATTAGACAGGGGCAATATTCTGTAGAAATTACAAAGGTGTCAGGAAATTAATAAGTAATATTTTGAAGAAATTACAAAGGTGTCAGGAAAGGAATAATTAATAAATATGATTAACCTGAATACTGTTTTGCACTGAAAGACTAGCATTAATGTGTCCATAAAAAACTTGTTTCAAACTTAGTGATTTTCATAGTGGGATTCTGTCTTGGCACACTCCGCCTTTGTCTGGGTCATAGTTTAGACCATATTTATTCTCCATAACGGAATACATTGGCTTGTATTTGGGTTTAGGTTTCTCTTCTCTTGGCCCTGCAAAGTAGTAGTAGCGGTAGCAATTAGTGCATTCAGTTAAGGTCATTTAGCAGGTGTGTGAATTACTTAGGAGTGTAAATGTAATATAATTATTTTGAGGTGAAAGACACATACAGAGGTTCTCTAAGGATGGAATGAAAAAAGGGAGTTTGATAGAAATAAAGAATGACATATTTTGGCAACATTAAACGGCATAACATTGTTATGAACACAGTTATAGTTAGGTATCCTTTACAGGACGTTGCCGAACCAACCCCAGCATTTTTTGGCTATTGTGGCTTTCCTAGGCAAATTTTATGTTTATTAGATTTTCACTGCTATCTGAACAGTAAGCTCTTGGTACCACTGTTGAAACCAACTCAAGACAAAGTGCGTTCGCAACGCATGAGCCACAGACGCCGACATAAACACAGTACTGGATGGAAATGTTGAAGGCAAGCAGGCAATACAAGTGTGATAACACCAAAGAGTTGGCGAAACAGCAGTCTCTGAGGGTTTACCTACAGGGTGAACGTGCTTGTAGGAGATCTTCTTTTTCTTAGTGTTTGTTAGCTTTACTCAGCAGAAAGCCCCAGTTCTTCTTGACTTTTGTCTGGCTCCAGAACTTAAGGTCTGAGTTGAGTGCATGACCGTTTTTCAGGTCTGGCTTATTTGTATACACACTGTTGGTTCTCCCCTCTAATGTGCACTCCGACTTCAAAAGAAACACCCCTAATTAGTTGTCTTTTACCACATGCTTGTAAGAGGGCAGTGGGTCTATTCTTATCCCCCTCCCCCATAATGGGGATCTGGGACCCTCGCTGGAATGTTGGTCATCTATTTCACTTAACCTTCATTGTAGAGACAGCATCTGTTTGACTGATTTGTGAAGTAACTGCCCTTTTATTGCATGACTGATTTCCCTCTTGTGTGTTTTTACCTTGTTATGATAGAGGAGCTTGTATGTTCTAATGGCCGCAAGATCTAGCCTGACTGCAGCCTAGCAGCTAGAAGGGTCAGACAGGTCAATGAATAGGAACCTGTCAAACAGAGACACTTTAGAAGATCCTAACTGGGAAACGACTAGAAAGGGTTGACATCATCCAGTGTTGCCTCAAGAAACTATCTTGGCTTAATAGGACGGGGTGAACGGAAATGAAAGAGCTGATAGTGTTTAGTGGAGGAAGAAGTATGGACAGGGTGATGCTGAGACAACTGTGTTAGAACCGGTGAACCACCTGTTGGAGATGAATAGAAAGGAAAAGCACGCCCGCTGCGGTGCATAGGAAGAAGTTATGCCAGTAACTCTTGGTGAGCTTGAAGTTGGCTGCTTCATCAAAGGACGTAGCGGGAATTGGTCAGCAGGACCGGTGTGCTAGTGTGTCAATACTGGTAACAGCCTAAGAGAGATGCACGACTGCTGCCTTACAGGCAGACGGGACAGTTAAAAGCAGTCAAGAGCAAACTTGTAAAATGTCAAAATCTGACGAGCTTAGCCACATGTTTAATGAAAATAGTCTCTTCTTCTTCTTCTTATCTTGCCGTCTCACTAATACCCCTGTAGCCCAGTATCGTAGTTTTCTGTATTTGTCTGGGGTGATGGATTTGTTCATTATTTTGCAGGTTTCTGCTACATCATTTATCCATCTACTTCATCACCTTCCTCCCAGATGTTCTGCTGTAAAAAAAAAAGTCTCATATACAGTTTGGTCTGGCTGCATTCTGACTAGATGGCTGAACCATTTCATTCTTTCTCTGTCAGTATAATCCAGACATGGTCTTATTCCAACTTTCTCTCTAATTCGTAGCACTTTCTTTTCTTGTGTTGTTAGTTCAACATTTCTTGTACAGTTATCTTAACGAACGATTTTTTTTTTTTCAAAATAACCCACTGTTGAAATTATCTTCTTCTGCGATCTCTGGTCGTGTGCTTATTCAACTATGGGCCATAAATTGGAATGTGATCTCAAGGTCTCTTACGTTTCTTCTAAAGCTTAGTTGTCAGGTCTACTGGACGTTGCCATCTATAGTCTCTTAGGTTTCTGCCAAAGCTTAGTTGTCAGGTCTACTGGGCGTGGCTATCTGAAGTCTCTTAGGTTTCTCACAATACTTAGTTGTCAATTCTACTCGGTGTGGCCATCTGAAGTCTCTTCGGTTTCTCCCAAAGCTTAGTTGTCAGGTCTACTAAGCGGGGCCATCTGTCGATTTGCAGCGCCAGGAGAGAACAGTCTTGCAGGATGTGTTCTGGAGTCTCTTCCGTATGAAGAACTGAGAGAGAGCTGTTGACAGGCTGACGTTCAACTCCACATGGACTGTAAAACGTGGGATAAACACCCGGTGACACAAAGTGCCACTATTCGGATGAGAATCCCCCGTGCGCAACATCGTTAAACCGTTAGGTTATATTAGGGCTCCCGGCAACAGCCAAGTAAGGCTTTATTTACAATTTTAAAAAAAAATTGCGTCGAATATTGGGAGAGAGCTGTTTGGCTCATACCTAATTTCAATAGATGTTAGTTGAGTCTGCAGTGTCCAGGGCATAATCGTAAAATTGTGACTTCGTCTCTTCTGTTTAGGTGATTAAGGAATTTGTTTTCATGGTTATAACGGGTTTATTTTTCTATCTGTTTCTGATTCCCCTACAGGAATTATGAAACGGACTCCTTACCTATATATGATTGCAGGTTACACCAGGTGTGGCTGATGCAGATACCATATTTATAACGTCTTTAGAGGTGGATTATGAGGTTATCACACCAGTCACCTTTACTTTCTTGGACTATACCTAGCACCCCATTTTTAGTCATGGTAAAGGGTCAGTTCTTTTACCTTTTACTTTACATATTACAAATGACAGTGAAAATATAGCTTGTATAAGAATATAGAAAAGTAGTTTAAACTTTGCTTACATTCTACTAGGTAGCCATATTCTTCCGGCAGCAGACGGCGGGGTTTTTCTGTAATATTTTGCAAATACAGTATTGTAAGTACATATGACTTTAGAGCATGTTGTGTGCCGTACACAATCTAGTTCTTTCTTAATATCCAACCCCAGATTACGTCGCAGGACAGTCCAACATTTTATAGGGTAATAAGACTGGGTTTCCCGGCTTTCTGATGATTTTAACGACCCCAGTAAATCTAGAACTGGCCCTAACCCCAACTCACCTACGTCCCACAAGAGAGTGCAGCTTAGGTGCCAAGGCTGCAGACAGCCTAGGTCCCACTACTGCATGCAGCCTACCACCTCCTGAAATATTAGACTGTCTTGTGACCTGTGGTTTCCCCCTGTTTGGGGTAGGATATTAAGAAAGCACCCACAATCTAAATATCATGGTCTGTTTCTTTCATGTGTCAAGGTTGATGTGTACAAGAAATTCATTCTGGGGGTTCGGCACGTTGCCTGTGTGGACCAGCACCCCAGAATACTGAGCCTGTGCTACAGACAAGCTCTCTGCATGCAGCAGGGAGATCCCAGGTTTGGTCGGTTGGCACTCCAATGTACGGGCAAGGGAAAGATATGGCCGGTTGGCATTCCAGTGTACGGACAAGGGAAAGATATGGCCGTTTGGCACTCCAGTTTACGGACAAGGGAAAGATATGGCCGGTTGGCACTTCAGTGTACGGAAACGGGAAAGATATGGCCGGTTGACACTCCAGTTTACGGACAAGGGAAAGATATGGCCGGTTGGCACTCCAGTGTACCGACAAGGGAAAGATATGGCCGGTTGGCACTCCAGTGTACGGACAAGGGAAAGATATGGCCGGTTGGCACTCCAGTGTACGGGCAAGAGAAAGTTATGCCTCACACCCCTGATGAAGGTCAGTGACCTTCTCACTTAAAACCAGCGGCAGGGAAAAATGACCAGAAAAAGAAGACTTAAGTAAGTAAACGGTGCACTGGGCGTATGGTACTAAACTAATCTGTATAGGATTCGGTGAGTGATGTCAGCTGCCTTTACTTCCCAGGAGATTATCAGCTATCTATTTTAGGCTAGGTCGACCTGGAGTCAAGGTCAATTTTGAAAGAAGAAAAGTCAGATTCCATACGGATTTAAATCTACGACCATAAAAAGAAAGCCTGATACCTTTTGTACAGACTGTACAATGCTGTAGACTGAGTTCGTTGCGTATCCTTTACAGTTTACAGACGTTGCTAAACCATTCTTGGCCTTTTGTTGCCTACTTGCGATTTTACAAGGCAGTTTTACGTTCAGTAGTTTGCCATTACCGAGTTTCTTTCAGGCAGACCTTGATGAGAGCGACATTCTACAAAGGACCTGCTACATGATGATGATGAAATTGCCAATGCTACCGAGCGGTGGGCTCTCGATGTAACTGTCGAAGCTATCGCATGACGGTCTGCTGCCAAATTGCCAGCATCTTGTACAGAACATGGCATCGAAGCATTGCAAAGCGTGTTTGCTAAACCCAAGCCACAGGCACGACAGTTATATGCGATCCTAAACAGGACGTTACAAAACCAACCGCAGCATTTTTTGGCTGTTGTGGTTTTTCTAGGCACATTTTACGTTCAGTAGTTTGCCATTTCTTTCTCTGTCAGCTCTCGGTACCACTGTCGAAACCATTGCAAGACAAATCGTCTGCAGCTGGGATCGAATACGGCACCCCGGCATTACAAAGCACGTTCACTTACGCCACAGACGCCGACGCATCGACAGTACTACTTTTTGAATAGTTTTTTTTTTCAGTTAATTTTTCTTATAGGCCACGCCGAATGTATGCCGAATATCATATTTCATAGGAAAGGCGGTTAAGCCATTTGTCTTGCACTCTGAAGGTTGTCAGCCATTGTAGCCCAGAAGCAGACGGTTGCATGCCGACCCGAAGGTCTTCAGTTCGTCACCGCATCAGGGCGGATGTTTTTAAAGTTTGATCTTGGTTTCCAACTCGATAAAGTCTAAAATAGGTACCAGGTTAAGAGGTTGGGAAGTAAAGGCGGTCGATTCATTGTTGACCATCATATGCCCGATGTGCCGTTGACGTAAAAAGAGCCCGTACTTTTACTGTACTGAAGGCTGTGGACTGGGTTTTACTGTCCTGAAGTTTGTGGACTGGGTTTTACTGTACTGAAGTTTGTGAACTGGGTTTTACTGTACTGAAGTTTGTGGACGGGGTTTTTACTGTCCTGAAGTTTGTGGACTGGGTTTTACTGTACTGAAGTTTGTGAACTGGGTTTTACTGTACTGAAGTTTGTGAACTGGGTTTTACTGTACTGAAATTTGTGGACTGGGCTTTGCTGTCATGAAGTTTGTGGACTTGGTTTTACTGTACTGAAGTTTGTGGGCTGGTTTTATTTTACTGAAGGTTTCATGCTGAGCATTACTTTACTGGAGATTGTGGGTTGGGTGCTTTAGACTACCATTTAGATCCTGAATATAAGTGTCTTGTTGATTCTTGGGATTGTCGCTAAAGAACAGAGTTCGGGTTGTGTGCGACGCGCTGCGCAGGCAACAAGCTGGTCTCTATAGACAGGCCTAACCGTGCTGGACACACTCCACTGTGACGAAGTCATCATCTAGTCCCCCTGTTCCAGAACTTGAGTGTTGCGTGCACATCTGTTTTACAGATCTGGTATATTTGTATGCAGAGTGTTGGTTCCTTGCCTCTCATGCAGGTGCACTTCGACTTCGAAGGATACCCCCATTTAGTCGACACCTACAATATGTTTGTCTCGTCACAATAGAGAACCGGAACACAAGGGAATTTTGTCTTCGAAATTCCACTATATTTCTATTCCCACTTTCTTCGGTACCTCTGTATTTTATACCATGTGACTATCTGTAACCAGAGAACCAGATCTCCAGATTTCGCTGGGAAGACAACATCCGACAGCCCCTGACTGACAGAGGACAGGGGTGGAACAAAGCCAGAAAGAAAACTGCTGATAGAAAAGTCTAGTGATTTCTCTGGCAAACCTCTACACCCCAAGGTAGAAGAGGAGCGACTAAGTCAGTAAGTATCACATCCTCCAAGACTGTCCCAGGTACAACATATCAAGGCAACATTTTTGGCCACGAGAAACACCAATGAAAGCTAACCTTTACGGGTCGCTGGTTGAATTACAACAGACAGTGAAGTCCACAATAGAGACAACATTGCAGATATATCTCTATTTCAAGCGAACGAGAAAAAAAAAGTACGTTTTATGTAAGAAAGAAGTACGTATTATGTAAGTAACTATCTGCATGCTAAAATACATTTATGATATGTGAGTAGGCATGTTGTCAAGAAAAGTGTGCAGTATTTTATAATGGTTTTATATTAAAAAAAAAAAAAAAAAAAATATGGAGCAAACAATGTTTAACTGTGTACTGTACCATCGTCGGCTATGGCTAGTTTGTCCATACAAAATATTTTCATCTGAAATTTAGAAGAAAAAAAAAAATGTAAAATCAGCAAACTTTGAATATAAATAATAGTTGACTAATGTTTACCACACACATACACACACGCGCGCACGCACGCAGGCACGCACGCACCCACGTACGCACGGTTTAAGGAAAATGGCGCTGCGACGAGCTACCAGGGCTTCTGGCCGACGCTCAACACTCAGGGGAAGCATGAGACGGATATACAATCAGACGGTTACTGGTACCATCATAATTGGAATTATTTACTTGCTGCTGAAGATAGGGACTGAGCACATATGGGAATGTCCCGAGTGCTGTGATGTCGATTCTTTATTCAACCTTCAGTACATTGAGCTCCCCTCACCCACCACTAGGAAATTTGCAAAACGGCCAAGTACTCGCTTCCTACTCCTAACCATGTATAGCAGTTTCACTTTTAAGTATTTGTTTATACGTTTGATATTATTTCAATATATTTTTGCCTTTCAGAACACAACAATGTTAATAATATTTTAATTATTATTGAGCACCTAAACAAGGCTTGAGTCTCCCACCCAGTGTGTAGTTGTTACCCGCATATGACTGCAGGTGACAACTGGCTGGTGCAGCCGTTTCAGCTGCCCTAATTGTAACTTATCTGAAGTTGAACGTGGTATCTAGGATCTGCCTCCTTGTTAATCTACCATCCAGAGATAGAGATTCTTTCATCTCAGGTCACAATGGTAAACAGTTAGCAGCCTGGAGAAATCAGCTCGATCATCGATTTCTCTGCAGTGGTCCCCGTGCTTCTACATGATATATATATATAGTAGGGCTGTACCGAATAGTGATTTTTACTATTCGGCCGAATACGAATAGCGGGACCAACTATTCGGCCGAATACGAATACGAATAGTGTATAAAATATTTCTTTAAAAAACACACAGACATTCATAACGTCAAATGCACGCTGAACTTTTAATTCACAAAAAGTAGCACAGAATAGTCATCTTCTTTTTCTTTAGCATTCTGGGCCCTTGAGGTTCACTGCTGCATATATCACTCGTCTCCTCCATTCATCTCTCTCGCTGGCCTTATCTTCACAATTTGTGACACCAGTTGTTTGCAGGTCTGCACATTATCTCTCGAACTTTTTTGTCTGCCTCGTGGTCTACGCCCATTCTTCTCTCAGGTGTATACAGTTTTTACTTCTCTGTCATCTGACATTCTTTCAATATGCCCCAACCATTTTAGTCAGTAAGCTCTCATGATGCCAGTGATCAATAGTGATTTAAACAGATTATGTGTTACGTTGTTGCTTCTGTCTCTCCATTCCCCGCTGTTTGCATCTTTGATGGGTCCAAAGATTTGTCGTAAAAATGTTTTCGAAAACCTGTAATAAGACCGCATCTCTTTTATTTCTGCTTCAAGTTTCAGAGCCATATGAAAAGACTGGTCTTTTCAATGTTTTATATATTTTGATCTTGGTGTTGCGAGACAGACACTTTGGCTTTAGCAGATGTTGAAGGGCATAGTACACTTAATTTCTAGATTGTATTCTATATTGTATTTCTTCTCTTAGCATGTTGGAGCAGTTGAAGTTTGCACCCAAGTATATGTTTCCGTTCGTTTGATTTTCATATTATCCACTTGGATGTGGCCGGAGTTTATATTCTTTCCATGTCTAGTTAGTATTCGTACAGAATAGTTAACATTTAAAAACATTTTATATTCTGCATCCTTCAGTCAGTCTGTGGTAACTAATAACTAGGATTGAAAGAATCCTAGGTATTATAACAAGTAACTAAACTTGGAAATTGTAACTGACAGCTTAGTTAATGCATGAAAGCTTGCATTAGCTTTCAACAAAACCAATCGTTCCATGTTGTCAGCATTAAGGCCGTGTATGCAGAAGCGGGCGTAAGGTAACTACTATTCGTATTCGGCCTGACCGCAACTATTCGGCCGAATACCGAATAGTCAATAGGTCCACTATTCGGCCCCGAAGCGAATACGAAGCGAATATCCGGTACAGCCCTAATATATTTATATATACACACACACACACATATATGTGGCTAAGGCGTTGTGAACGCGCTTCCTAATGCCAGAGTGACGAGTTCGATCCCAGCTGTGGGCATTGCGTCTTGCGTTGGTTTCAACAGTGGTATCGAGAAGCCGACCGTCCAAAAAACAGGCCTACTACTTGAAGTAAATTTGCCTAGGAAAACCACAACAGCCAAAAAATGCTGGGACTGGCTCTGCAACGTCCTGTAAACATATATGCAAGAGGTTGATCACAACCCAGAAATGTGTGAACAGAACAATATTTTTAACAATAATACGAATTATATAATTATCGCAAGTAAACAACTACACGATACATAAATAACAAATATCTACCCCGAGAAGTCAATAAAACATATCCCAGTAATAACTCTGACGGTTAAAAATTATTATTTTTATTATTATTTTGTTGTTGAAAATCACTACTACTGCTACTTGATCTGTTAAGCTATGAATTAGCTGTACATTTCTATGTTTGAATGATCATGAATGAAAAGTAGTAGTAGAGGATCGCATTCCGCGCCTCAAGGGAAACTGATTTTTTTAATAATTTTTTTTTATTTCTAGCCACATATTCTTATTGAGCGATCAGTAATGGAAGGTTGATGTCAGTTTCACGTTGACCATCTTTACTTCCTTATAATGTCACGTCATGTTGTATTATGCCAGGACAATCTACGTCACAGTACACAAGGCAGTCCCAACATCAAGATAATGAGCAGTCCAGGCTGGATCTATACCACTGGGTGGTGAATCGATACACGACAAAGTAGATGTGATAGGAGCCATTTGGAAACAAGTAAAGAAGTGATAAGAGAAACTGAGCCCAGCTCTCTAGCGTAGTTGGCTAAACCGGACTGCGCGGAGACCGGGTGAAGAACTCCTTGTGGTCCGGGCTCAGTCCCGGGGGGTAGGCAGAAAAGCCACATTTTCTCCCAGATTTAGGGTATTTACAATAGAATCAAGGCCGAAAGGTTGCGATATCCATAATACCGAGCCTAAGAGTTAACAACTCAAGGCTTCTGGATACTAAAACAAACGAAGAGAAACTGAATTATTATGGTCCGGAGAGAATGATGCACTTAGCTGTGACCAGAGGGTCTGGCCGGCTGACTACACTCAGGGAAAGGCAAGACGGACCCGGAATTGGTACTTTGCGCTGGCTGCTGAAGATGGGGACGAAGCACATTTAGGTATGCCCCGAGTGATGTGATGTCAATTCTTAACTCATCTAAGTCCAACACATCCGATTTCAACTCACAATTTGTTGGCTGTCTCTAATGGTTTGCTTGTGGGAGGAAGGGGAAAAGAGGGGGGGGGGGGGGTGTTGGATGAGATCTATTTAAAAAAAAAAACGAAATAGTTACCCGGGTCCCATTACTGAAACGAAAATAATAAATATAAAAAAAACAATTTTTTCACCAGTTATGTTCCCCGTGTGGGTGCCAAGGCCCCATTTTAGACTTTAAAAAAAACAAGCCAGAACCCCCCCCCCCCCCCCCTTTTTCTCCCCACCCCAAACTACACAGACTCTCGCTCTCTCTCAAAAAAAAAAAAAAAAATTCATGACGGTCAGATTAAAGCTATCGTGGTAACACTTATGAAAAGATGAAAAAAAAGGTGTTGTACATTTCGGTTAGAATGATTCATTGTTGTGCTTAATTTTATGATGAATAACTTGTGTAAAGCAACAGCCGTATTCCTTTTCTCGTGACACGCTCAGTAGAAAACTCATAAACGTAAATTGCCGCGTTTTCTTCTTTTAACGTTCGCTGGCTGTAAACTCCAGCGGAAAATTCAGGTTGTTCGTCCACTTCTGGACGTTGGTCTTCTTCGAGAACTTGAGTTCTGTGAGCACACCCACTTTACCGATCTAGCTTATGTGCAGATGATTGGTTCCTCGACTCTCAGGCAGACAGATACACTCAAATTTTGAAGAAAACGTTCATAACTATCGACATGGGGGGGGGGGGGGGGGGTGAGAGGCTAACGTCTAAAAGTGATGAACAATCAGAACTGTCCACGTGGCGCGGTGATTTCGGTCACATGCATGAGGGAAAGTTAAGTCTGATGTGATGTGTATAAGGAGATATTCCGTACCCCACTCGGGTGCCAGTCCTTCACTGTTCTGGTTCTACGGAACCTCATGCAAGACTCCTGCCGCACGTCCCCGTCGTGCGCCACGGATAATGTCTCAAATGAGCATTAACAGAGTTGGCAGGGGATCTCGGAGCTAGCGGCCCCTATAGGTGTAGTGTCCTTTCTGGCTCTCACCAGCCCGCCCCCAAACGCATTGGTGAAAAGTCTAACCAAAATCATTCGGAAAACGAGTAAGGATTGCTTGCCAAATGTACCATCAAATGACAACTCTCGGTTAAAATTCTGGAGCGAATGAAAAACTGTGCTGCTGAGACTCTACCCTGACCGAGAGATTTACCCGCAGCCAAGACGAGTAACATCTCTTGTGGGCGATTTCTCGCCGCAAGATCCTACCTACGTACATCCTCTGTCAATCCTCAGTGTCGTCGTCACCGCGCTGAGGTACACCACGGCAGCAACTTTTCATCTGCTGGCTAGGAAATAATGTCCGACAAAGTTAAACCCCACGGCACACATGCAAGCTCAAAGTCCGACGATCATAATTCGTACCGATTAGGGAAAAGTCAAAATGTCCGTATCCACTAGTCCCACTCGCCCGAGTGTTGGGACCAAACAGGTGAAGCCACGCCTGACGCATTTTGCTTCCATGTTCTGTCGTGCTAAGGGCACAGCTGAAACAACGTTAAAGGTGTCTAACGTACGATGAAAAAGAACGTACCTATTTGTGTGGCCACAAAAGTCCTGGACCTGCGGGCTGCTCCCCGCTGATCTCCGGAGAGCGCAGCCTTGTGGCGCGGGAAGCTCAATACACGGTTGTGAGGTTAAGCAGTCATGGGCAGGACGTGACGATTCCTTGGGCGAGCCCAGCACCAGAGCATCATGTGCCGGCTCTGCATTTATGGAAGCCTCCTTGGATGGCGGGGAATGCCCATGATCTGCCCCTGCCTTTCCTTGAGGGCTGACAGTTCTACCTAGGGCTGCCTTAAGGAGGATATTCCGGGGACCACACCTGTTAAAGGTCAAAAAGGACACCACACAGATGAGGCAACATCTCGACCCACACAAAACAATGGCCACAGTCAACCTAGAAATAGGCTTGACGTCTTCCCTCGAAGTCGGAGTACATCTGCCGGAGAGGCGGGGAACGAGAACTGCAAACAAATAAGCCAGTAAAACAGATGTACACGCAAAACTCAGGTCAAAGTAAAAGCCAAAAGTCCATTTTGGACGACAACCGCGACTTACCGCCGGAATTCACAGCCGGTGAACAAAAAGAAGAAGAAGAAGAACTGTCCACAGCCGGTGAACCCGAGGAAGAATATCTAGTAATATACTGTGTAAATGTACTCCCTTCTTCTTCTTCTTCTTCTTCTTCTTCTTTTTCTTCTTCTTCCTTCTCCTCTTCTTCTTCTTCTTCTTCTTCTTCGCGTTTAACAGCTGTAAACTCTGGCGGAAAGTTTTGGTTGTTCATCCACTTTTGGACTGCGTGTGCATCCGATTTACAGATCTGAGTAATCTGTATGCAGACTGCTGGTTCCTTGCCTCTCAGGCAGATGCACTCCGACTTCGAAGGATGCTCCAAATTAGTCGACTCTTACGACACGCTTTTGAGTAAGCAGTGGGTCTATTATTGTTTTCCTTATAACAGGGTCTGGAACTCGCACATGAATGTCATTGCACAATGTCTTCATTATTTTAAAAAGAAAGTGTTTGAACAAGTAACAAAAGGGCAACGAGAACAGCGAAATTACAAAATAACGACTTGAAAACAATAAAACAGAATGCTACGATGCCTTTTCACTAGAACTGATCTGTGGCTGCCTGTGTTTGACTAGTTTATCTTCTACTTCGTAGAAGGTGTACGGACCAAAGCTATAATATTCTTCCCCGGCCTTGTACGTGTCTCCCGCCTCAACGGCCTTGACCTTTTGTGCTGGGAAGCAAAATTATAAATGAACTAACTATACACACAAATTAACTAACTATACACACAAATTAACTAACTATACACACAAATCAAAGAGACCACAAAGAAGAAAACAGTGACATGAATGTCGTATGCGTATCCGTTCTAGGTGACCCTTCAGCCCAGTACAATGGGAGGCAACAGTTATAAATGAACTAACTATACACACACACATCACAGATATTTTTTTAATGGTTTTATTTTTTAATCTGTTTACCTACAAATAACAAACACAAAATGAATAGTATTAATTCAAACTATAAACACAGTTAACTCTCCATGTCTTACAAAGCAATTTTATCCACTATAATGTTTCATGCATACTCTCAGTGTTAAATCATGGCTTTGCCTCCAGCTCTGGCTTTCCTGTCTCCCGGTTGTACTGGAAACCTGGCTTAACTGATTCCTGGATAGCTGGGGGTTTGTTTCCATCTCTCAACAATACTCTTGAGGCATCATAAACGCTCAAAGGAGGTTTTGATTCTCTCCGACCATCTCTTGTACAGTAATAGTTGTCTGACAGTTTGCTACAGACTCCAGGTGGGAGATTTGGTGGTGGCTGAGTCCTTTTGGCAATATAGCCTTCAAATCGATGGACTATCGATGTCTCTTCATTGCCAAGCAGCCAATCTCTCGCGGTCCGTAAGATGGGTCCAACATCTCTAACGTTGGGAGGTCTCTTGTAGACCATTTTGTTTGTTGTACACAGAGATCGCAAAGAAGAAAACAGTGACATGAATGTCGTATGCGTATCCGTTCTAGGTGACCCTTCAGCCCAGCACAATGGGAGACTACAGTTATAAATGAACTAACTATACACACATGGACTAGCTATACACACAAATAAACCAAATATACCTACACATTCACTAACAATACATACAAATCACAGAGATCACAAGGAAAAAAATACAATGAAATTAATGGCATTCACATATCCCTTCTCGGTGACCTCCGCCTAGCACAGTAGGAAGTAACAAATATAAATTAAAATATAGTGGTACATAATCAGTTCCTAGACGGCGTTCGAATTCCAAAATCGTTCGAGTTTTAAGTCAAAATTTCCAACTGAAAAAAAACAAACATCATGTATTATGAGGCAAGTGTACTAATCACTAGACCATCGCGGCTATTATTAAACTGTGAGCAATATTTGAAAAGAATAGCAAGTTTCAGATAAACACGGTACATTACTGACTGGTAATTATTGATTTAATTGGATGGAGAAGACGAGAAGGAAGCAAGAGGCAGACGGTGATACAAATGGGGAGATAACATAAAGAGATGTGTGATCAGTAGTCTGTGATAGTGTAAAGCTAGGGTGGGGAACAGAAAGGACTGGCAATCCATTGCATCCAACCTTCAATGTGCATAAGGCGACAGATTTATTCTTTGTTAAATGGCTATAAGCTCCGGCGGAAAGTCCTGGTTGTTCGTCCATTTTTACTTTAGCTTTGTGCCAAGCACTGAGTTTTGCGTATACATCCTTTTTACTGGCTTATTTGTGTGCAGTTGATTGTTCCTTGCCGAACAGATGCACTCCAACTTCGAAGGAAGCTCCCAGTTAGTCGATTCCCATGAAATTCTTGTTGGGGAGGCAGTGGGTCTATTCTTGCCCCCCCCCCCCTTTCCCCCACAGTTGGGCATCGGAACCTACACAGAGAGGCACCAGAATGATAAAATGAATAATGTAACAACAAACAAAAAACAACAAAAAACAAAAAATGTAAAGAGAAAAATAAACCATCAAAACCTGGTTTTCGCCTGACAGGAGAACTTGGTGGTAATATCGGCTCCTCTTCAACTTCTGTGCCCCTGGAAGAATGTTGTGACACGAACCTCCTGGGGACACTCGACACTGAAGACTGAGATCTTGATATACTCTGGGAAAAAACAGGTCATCCATTTACTCTGGTTATCTGAATAATCTCAATTTCAGCTTCATAGCAAACGCGTCTACGTCTGGTTGTCCCGCTCCTGTGCCAACGAAAAGCACACAGAACGTTCGTCACTGTCCCTTGTGGAAAAATTGACAGACTGCAGTCTCATCATATCCACTAGCATACACGCGCATTAAAAGCACAATGCAGCCATCAAAGGCTCCAACACAAGCAACACGACCTGAGAAATGCAGTTCATCATCGACGAAAGCAGCAGTTGCAAACAGTTAAGCAGTTGCACACGCCATCAATTTCAGTCACATGAGGCATTACCAATTCTGTGGCAACAGGCCAGGCGCCATTTTTTAAATCTATAGTGCACAGCACAATGCTGGTCACAACTCTGTCCCTCCCGTTGAGCTACTGTGTTCAGTTGAGTTAAGGACCATTTCATAGTACTTGTGACATTCCTGTACACACTACATCTGAATCTTCAGCAGGCACTGCAAAGTTTCAATACCAGTAATGCTATCTGCAGTCTTATTATAAAGTTGTCTAGTCTGCCTGTTGGGTGTCACCTAAATCTTCTGGTCCCTCCCCTCTGTATCATTTTCTCTAAACTAAAATGATCTATTGTCTCTTTTGCACTATTTATGTGTTGCTCTTTTGTGTGGTTTATGTGTTTCCGAAAGAGCCAGGACCATTTACTCTGTGTACCTACTACGGATAATTAATGGAGCTATAGAATGTGTACTTTGCGCGTGTTTTGTTGGTGTTGTCATCATCGACTGGTAACTCCAGCGGAAAGTCCTGGCTGCTCGTCCAGTTAGACTTCAGATTTTTATCAGGACTTTGGTTTTGCATTTACATCCATTTTACTGGCGAATTTATGTGCAGTATGCTGTTCCTTGCCGCTCAGAACAGCCACGCACAGACTGTGTGGCTCTTAGTGGAAGTCAGGGGGCAGAACATAGGCATTCCTCGTCATCCAAGGAGGCTTTCATCAATGCAGAGCTGACACGTGACACTCTGGTCCTGTACTCACTCGAGTAATCGTCACTTCCTGCCCATGACTTAAGTAATCGTCACGTCCTGCATATGACTTAAGTAATCGGCACGTCCTGCACATCACTTAAGTAATCGTCACGTCCTGCACATCACTTAAGTAATCGTCACGTCCTGCACATCACTTAAGTAATCGTCACTTCCTTCCCATGACTTAAGTAATCGTCACTTCCTGCCCATGACTTAAGTAATCGTCACGTCCTGCACATCACTTAAGTAATCGTCACTTCCTTCCCATGACTTAATTAATCGGCACGTCCTGCCCATGACTTAAGTAATCGTCACGTCCTGCATATGACTTAAGTAATCGGCACGTCCTGCAAATGACTCAAGTAATCGTCACGTCCTGCACATGACTGCTTAACTTCACATCCGTATGTCGAGCTTCCAACGACCACTACTAACATTATACACAAAAAGGGTCCTCATATGGGATGCCATTTTTTGTTATTTTTAAGCCATATTCCGGCTGTTGTATAACTTAACGGTTGAAGGGGTTTTCTGGGATCTGTCTCTGGGTGATCCTCATCTGAATGGTGGCACGTTGTGTTAATGGGTGATTGTCGCTCGGTGTGATGTCCTGATGGGGTTGAAAGTCAGTCAGTCACTATCACCACTACTACTACCACCACCACCACTATTTCTACCGCTACCACCACAGTCACAACAACTACTACTACTACCACCACCACCATCACTACTACTTACTACCACCACCACTACTACTACTACACCACCACCATCACTACTGCTACTACTACTGAAGATGAAGAAAACCACAAGATTAATAGGATACACACTTAGAAAACTGATTATAATTCAAAATGTCCTTGAACTGGAACCCGCCTGGTCAAAGAAACAAAGGGAAAGCAAAGACAAATTAGGAAGAATATAATTAGTTTGGGAAGAGCATAGAATGGGCTGCATTAAGGAAAAAGCGGGGGGGGGGGGGAGAACTGAGTGACTGGACACTGTGGTTGTGGGTCTACACATGTGTGTGTGTGTGTGGGGGTGGGGGAAAGGGGGGGGGGGGGGGTAAGAAGTATAATATATCTATTATGTCACGAGGTGACCAACAGGGTTGGTGAAATATATGATCAAAGAAGACTTGTTCAAGACTGGCAATCTTAATCCATAGAAAACTTTAGATGGAAAACGTAGTCATGTCTAATAAATGTTTAGAATGAGGGGGCTGAGGGTCTTTACTTCACTGGAAAGTCTAAATCCCAAGTTTTCTTCTTCTTCTTCTTCGCGTTCACCAGATGTAAACTCTGGCGGAAAGTTCTGGTTTTTAGTCCACTTCTATACTGCAGTCCTGTTCTACAACTTGAGTGTGCATCCGTTTGACATAAGTGACTAATTTGTATGCAGACTATTGGTTTCGTGCCTCTCAGGCAGATGCACTCCGACTTTAAAGGAAGCTCCCAATTAGTCGACTCTTAGGACATGCTTTTTGGGTAGGCAGTGGGTCTATTCTTGTTTTCCCTATAACAGGGCCCCGGAACCCACACGGGGAAAAATCTAGTTTAGACAATAAGAATAAATGGCTGGTACTGGAGGTGCCAGTTTAACTCATAAACTGAACATGTGAGATGAAACATGACACAATGCAAACAAATTCGCGTGCAAAACATAGTTGCAAAAACATACAGCAACGTATCTGCATAGTTCAGCAGACCAAGCTCTACTCAAAGATCGAATGGCGTGGAGAGACATTGTACGCCGGGGAGACAAGGCCAACTGACATTTCAGTATGTGTGGTGTATTATTCGTTTCGCCATTTTAGTAATTGGTACAAAATTAAATCACAAATAGGCAAACAAAGGGAAATTTGCAAAAAGTACTAGTCATTTAAATAAAATATTGTATTATATTTATTACACATTTTATAAATTTGGAAATATACAATAAGAGAAATTTAAACACTTTCAATATATATATATGTTAATAATCCGAAACGACGGCTGGCGGCACGACGACCTCTTCTTTCACAGAAGTTAAATATAGATATCATTGTCGCCTCGTCGGTCTTTTTCCTCCACCTCGCTTGGCAAGATGGCAACCGCTGATCACCAGGTAACAGATTTGTTATGATTTAAAGAAAACAATGCGACCATTTTCATCTTATCATAATAAAAACACTCGTTCAGAATTTCTATATGTTTTTATTATAACCGTATACAAATTATATTGTTTGTTTTGTGTAACAAGGCAAAGGAAAATTCAGTAAACCAGTTTTCGATAGCGACCATGCTGCCATACGTTTTGAGTAAATCATCGTTAACATTTTCAGCACGGGAAGTTTTTCAGATGTCTAGCCCCTCCCGCTAACTCAGTGACATTTGCGTGCTTTTATTTCTTCTATTTACCAGTGAAACATAGGCCCCCTAAGTCATTGAATCAACTCACCTAAGCTTTTTTTTTTTTGTTTTTAAACAATTTTTTTTTAACTCTCCGCCAAGGTAGACCCCACTTCTCTTCCCGTTTCCCCTTTCTAAGTTGGTGTAGCTAGCAACCTATAAATTTAATGTATCAATTTTTGTTGAATCTAAACTGCCCTTAAAAAAGTGTTGAAGTTAGGAATTTTGGAGAGACTGGTATTTGAGAGAGAGCAGATTATATTTTTTAAGCTATTTAGGTTATCATATTTGCTATTTTAATTGCTATCTTCTGGATAACGGTCCCAAATAATAGAGGCTAACATATACCCTAACAGGGCCTCAGTCACATGTCAATTGCATACTTTCTACGACTTGCAATTGCATACTTTCTACCTCCGGCTACTGCCACCACAGTCGAGAGTATCCCCCATGCTGCTTATGCGGCGTGGTTCGGGGCTCAACTAGATGGCTGGGACTCACGAGCAGTAGCTGCCTTCATTTTATTTGCTCGTGAGTCCTAGCTAGCCATTTAGTTTGGCGTCATTTTACGTGGCAGTGGAAACTCAGCCGTGTCTGATGTCCCTGGAAGTTCGGCGGTGGCAGTATAGTCCCTGGAAGTGCGCACTTGACACGTAACTGAGGCCCTGTTAGGGTATATTTTCTGCCGCGGTAATTTGGGACCGTTTTCGGAAGATGGCCAAAAAAATACACTAAGGGAGAAAATTTAAGGCAATAAGCGTCAGTTTTGAAGCCATGCATCATAATGTATGAGTAAACTAGTAGAGTAATACAGCCGGTGTTAATCTATCTGTTGCAGTCAGCCTTTTTTGTGCATCAAGGTGGCTCTGAATTTAATGGCTTTATCATTTATGTATTCTATAAAATCTAAACATGCACATAGTTGACACGTTTCTTGGTTTTTTTCCCCCACATCCCACATGAGGATCTGCTGGGACCAAAATTATGTTTAACCAATTCTGCTTCTTAATGATTTAATTCAAGAACCGACATCACAGCACTCTGTGCATTCCCTTAAGCACTCCGTACCCATCTTCAGCAGCCAGCTAAGAGTTCCGATAGTAATAGTGCCAGCAGCATTTTGATCAAACATCCGTCTTGCCTTTCCTTCGAGCCTCGAGCATCTGCTAGAACCTCTCGTCACTCCCAGCTGCATCAGTCTCACCAGACTGGTAATCCATCTGCTCCTCCAAACTGTACACGCTCTCCCACTAACCACGTCTGGCTTATCATGTATCAGTATTTCACCAAGTTGTGCAGAGTCAGCCAGTCTGTCAGCCTGTTCATTTTCCAACACACCAGCGTATCCCGGTGAAAAAAATCCAGACAATACTCCTCACCCGTGTCCGCCGCAGCAAAGCATGCCACTCTCACAAAGCATACCTGTTCTGATCTTCCTCCGCATGCTTTCTGAATCAGTTACAATCTTGATGTGTGTGTGTTGTGTTCTTTAGACTTTAAAGTTTGTTTTTCCTTTTCTAATAGATTGAGAGAGCTTACCAGAAGCAGCCGACTGTCTTCCTGAACAAGAAGTCCATTCTACAGGGAAAGTCAAAGAAGAATCTGAGATATGTGCGAAGTGTGGGACTTGGGTTCAAAACTCCAAGAGAGGTTTGTTCCTGTACAGTCCTGTGTAAAATTTCTACAAAAAATGTGTAAAAATAAAACTACAAGATGAATCTAATTTTATTGCTGGGAAGGACAGAGTCACAGTAGTGTAGACATTAGACACGGCTGCTAACTTACTTGGACCTACACACTTATTTTAATCACATAAATTCCAAGGTTTATCTAGCCTAAAAATGGTTAGCTAGACATTTTATTCAAAGTGAAAGTGGTTGCCAATCACATCACCGATTGAGTGCATGTTCTGGATATAGCTAGCAGTGTGCGCAACTCTTACCTTATATTTTCGCTTTTGCTTTGATCAGACACATATCTTAAATAATCTTTAAGAAATGATAGACCAGGGACATAGGATGGCATTTTTTCCTGACTATTTTAATTTAAATATTGAATGGTAAATATATGGGAGTGAGGGTAAACAGTCCTGAGCAGGACGTGATGATTCCTTGGCTGAGCCCAGCACCAGAGCACTATATAATATTGGCTTTGCATTTGTGGAAGTCTTCTTAGATGTCCTTGAATGCCCCTGCCTTCTTTGAGGGCTGAAACAACTGAGTCTGCAGTGTCCCATGAAACTAACCAGGAAGGCTAATCCCGGTCAGAGAATGCATGCAGAAGTCAGCAATGTTGGTTGAAAGTTGCAAAGATAACAGCTATGCTGTGACCGGGCAAAACTCAATTATATTTTTGATTAAATGCAGCAGATTAAAATTTAAATATTCAAGAGAATCAAGGTTTTTGAATTTATCTTGCTTTAGCTTACATCTTTCATGGCCGAGATTAAAATTTAAATATTCAAGAGAATCAAGGTTTTTGAATTTATCTTGCTTTAGCTTACATCTTTCATGGCCGGTGTAATGCTGATCACATTACCCATCCAGTGACGATTGGTCTGTAAAAATATGGGACGCTCTTGCCATATACACGATGCGCCTAAGGCGTGAAAAGGGATCTTTACTTTTACTTAGCTTACATCTGCATGTGTTCACTGAAACAAATACTAGAATAATTTATGTGTGTTGCATTCATAGAATAATGATAATTGTAACTTTTAGTGAATTATTTGTGTCTTGTCTATCCGGCCAACACTTAGGACAGGCAAGAGGAGTGCACACTGCTGGTGCTATCTAAATTAGAACTGTTGACTGTTTTTAGGAGTGCTCTAGTGTCAGTTCTTAACTTAGTTCATTGTCTTCTTTTCTGTAATTGAAACTTTTTAACATCAGAGAGCTTTAAATTTGTTAGGCTAAAACAGTCATAGATTTAATCAATTGTAAATGTCTATTTCAGGCCATTGATGGAACTTACATCGACAAGAAATGCCCATTCACAGGTGTGTTACCTATTGTCGTATTATTACAGTCATGTTTGAAGGGGCGGGGGAGTATGAAAGTTATATCTTTGTGTGGTTGGTTATGGATACTGTTGTCTTATGCTTCACTACCAAACAACTCACAAAATGTTTATGTGCTATCGCTACACATGGTTTTTATTTCCTGAACATCTTTTGTCCAATTTTCAGTGGGTCTATTCTCGTTTACCCTAATTTGACCCCCGGAACCCACACATGTACAAACCAGTTAATGCTTTAACCCATCCTTTTCCTTTATTGTAGTAGTTTTTTTTTGTCTGGGCTGTGTGGTCAAGCCACTTGCCTAATACTGGTCATTGTTTTTTTTTACAGACTGCCCTACTGGTAATAAATGCATTTTTAACAGGGATCAATGATGAGTGGAGCACCATGATGCTTTTGGCAGGCAGCTAGCCATTCTGCAAAAGGCGGACTTATGGTTTAAAAAAAGGGTGCAATGAGTTCTGTCTCCCCAACCGTAAATGAACTTATAAAGTGGTTGATAAAAACATATACCTAAATGTATGGTAACATAAAAGTTAGTTTTTCAATCTAAAAATTCCATTTTGTTTTTATATTATACAGTTTTGTAATATGTTGCCCTACTTTTTTAATAGGAAATGTGAGCATTCGTGGACGTATTCTGTCTGGGAGAGTGCTGAAAATGAAGATGACAAGAACAATTGTTATTCGCCGGGAGTACCTTCATTATGTGAGGAAATACTGCAGATTTGAGAAAAGGCACAAGAATCTCAGTGTTCATCTCTCACCTTGCTTCAGGTAATTATAACTAGAGACAAAAATTCAACTATCAAAGTTGTGTATATTTTCTCTTTCTCTCTACTTCAGCCATTTGTCTATTGACCCTGGATGATGCCAGTGATCGTTCATGATTATCAGAATATGAATTTAATTGTTGCTTCTCTCTTCATTCTGCACTGTTTTGGCCCCTTTGATAGGCCCCAGAAATTGCCTAAAGACTTTAAAATGCTTCTTGTCTCTTTGTTTTCACCAGGTTTTATAGCCATAGAAGACTAGTCTAATCAGTATTTCTATACAGTGATCTTGGTAACATGGTAATATATTGATTTTGAAATGTTACTTGTATTGCTTGGAAGTCATGTGTTCATTGTAGTCTAAAATGTTTTGTTCAACACAAATAAGTGAAATGCCGGTTAAATTAGGTTGTTAGTCTTTTTTAGTATGCAGTTTCAAAGAAGAAAATTACATTTAAAATAGAAAAAAGCATGTTTGGCATTTTTAACTAGGTAGTGACAAGATTGCAACAAAAGTTATTGAAATTATTTGCCAGGAGGGTAGGAGTTTCATAACATTCAGTG